AGTAGCTCAACTCGTTTCAGATCAGCGACCAATCGGTCATTTAGAGACAGGCATGCATTCTACGGCAGGGATGCCTTTTTCGGCATAACACCTGTACTTTAGACGGAATCTGAAGGAGCGACCCACCGACGTAGATGCCGGGGAGGGGGGATGAAAGCGGACTGTGATGTTTTCCGCCGTTTTCTCCACCATCTATCACTCAGCCGTCTGGCGAGTCTGGGGCGCAGTCTAGCCTTTGTGAATCACGAGTTTATTTTTAATATCTGAACACACGAACACTTCTTTTGGTTGAACTGCCTGAGTAGCATATAGTCCTAGGGTCCCATTTAGCTGTTTCCTAACTATCATGAAAATATGATCATCATAACAACACTAATAATAAATACAATAAAAACAAGCATCCATCCATTTTTAATACCTGCTTATATTTTCAGGGTCACGGGGGTCCGAGTCTGTCTTTGAAACGCGAGGCTAAAGGCAGGGAATAATAACCGAGGACGCAGCACCAACGCATCAAAGGGCACACGATAGAAATGTTCGGTGGAAATGAAATAATGAAATGAAATGATACAACTCAATCTTAGGATATATTTATATGGATGAACGGCCTTTGTTTCATACGTGCTAATGTTTAGAGAGAAAGTAGTTCAGAGAGATGGTTTTTGCGCCAGTATTTTAATGTTGTATAACGTGGCTTATTTGCAACGTGAGTCAACCAGGGACAGTCGTCGTCATGCAGCAGTGAGAAGCGTAGCTCTGCCTCATATGATGCAAACGCAGACCCTACACAGGTACTGTGGAAAATTTGGTAAATGTGATTGCGTCTTATGTAAGCCTATATACGTTTTTGTATTTCTAGACTTTACACGAAGCTTTTGAAAGGTTGGGATGTGACTGCTATGTAAGCAAATTTATGTTACAATAAATAAACCAATTAATTAAATCATTATTGTCAAAATAAAAACGACATATGACCTATAATACAAGTGCAGTCGTGTAATGGGGCCGTATTGCGTAGTATTCCGTTAGTTGTAAATTGCACCATCTGGTGGACGTCTTTGGGAAGTCGTTAGTAATGCGGGGCAATCCTGCGAATTAGACTATATGCCCCGGGCTACAAAACCAGGAAACTCGAAAAGCAGCGAATTAACAAGCTTGACGTCATTGCAAGTTTTCTCCATTGCGCTGCTCAAAGATAAGGTTTTGGTGTTTTGTGTGACAGGATTAGTATGCAGGCTGTTGCATATTATAGCTACAAACCGATTTTATGAGTACGTAATTGGTTTCACCACACATACAAAACAATAGGGATAAAAATACTCTGAGTAAAATGTGTTTACAGTTTTTAGTCATTCTCGAAATGTTGCATGCAAATACTTTATGTACTGTACGTATATGTGTGTACAAGTTCATTGGTACAAAATGCAATCTTTATTTCACCCTGAATTAGCTACAGTATACAGTATACATGCGTACAGTCATTGCATGCAGTATGAGTCACTGCTTCAGTCATATTCTTATGACAGTAAATGACCACTGAAGCCTTTCATTGTTGCAAAGCAGCAGCTAACAAGAACTTTTCAAACCAAGTTGTTAAAAAGTTTTATTTATTATAATTAGGGCTACAAAGTCATTTTTCATTCATTAAAAAAAGTCAATTAAGTAATTTTCATAGCTGTGGCTTAGTTTTACTGGTGCAGCCTATACTGGGACAGCTCTCATTCTTTTAATTTTTAATTATTTTTTTCTTCATTTTCCAAAGCAAAGGTATTGGCCTGGGGAGTTTTTGTCATGCAACAAGACTGGCTTATTTTTGCCGTCATAAGTTATTCTTAATGCACACGACGCATTTCAATTTTCAGAACTCATACTTTCTCCTCAGAGAAGACTTCTCTACAATTTTCAAAGAGAAACAACAAAAACATGTACAATTCTGAAAACGTAATATATTATTGAGTAGGAGGCCCTGCCTAGGATTTCTGTGACAGAAACAAAGTATGAACAGACAAAGGAGTTTGTTTATTTATTTTTTTTGGGGTGGGGGGGTGTTTATAGGACTTCATGGAGCATCACGCAACTGCACGAGCTCCAGACCTCAGCCACTGACAGTTCTGTTGACCTTCTAAAGCTGCTTGGTCACGTGGTTTCACATAAAAAAGAGTGAGTGAGGCAGGATGGAGGGATGAACAACAAAATAAAAAACTGACCCCTTAAAACTCAGACGACTGTGGGGAAAATGGCCCTTTTCATAAAGGTTTCCTGCTTTCAATACAGCTTGAAGTCAAGCAAAATTACACCAATAAATCTCTATGAAAATCATTTTTTAAAGGAAAAAAATTCTTCCATAATCATCCATAGAGAACCCAGGGGAAGATCTGGGATGGAGAGGTAACGGGAAGGAGCTGATTCGGATAAAATAAGAAAAGCGGAAGTTTGAAGGACCTGTAATACAGCCAAACTAAAACTAAAGTAAGCAGAGTTATTCTGTGTAGTATAACAACCATGGCAAACCAAAACGAAATGGGGAAAATACTCATGACAGCCTGTCATATCCAGAGTCTGACAGCCTACAGAATCCTTCACGATTTTCCCCAAAGATTTTCTCCTTTTTTGCTGTCTGTCTGCTGGAGATCCAAACAGAGAGTGCTGGTGACAATACAGGCATCTTCTTTGTCGTCGACATTGTCCCTTTATGGGGGGGGTGGGGTGGTTTAAGGACATGGGTCACTTAAGAGGAAGGCGTCCAATACTGAGTGTCGCGCTCCTGGCAGTGGCTGAGGTCATGGGGGGGAATGCGGGGGGGTCGAGGCTGACACCCTATGATCTCTTCCTTCGGCCTTCTAGGTTTCTGAAATTGACGGGCCGGATTTTCATCTCGGCAAACTCTATCGAATGCTCGTGGCCTTTCCAGTGGTACCAGTTCACACCCTGGGAGAAACAAAATGAAACGTGCAAATTTGTAAAACACACATGAAAAGTTACACAGTAGATTGTTAAAAATGATATATTGTATAATGTTGTATAATGATCTACATTCTTCAGACTGGTGTCCCATCCTGGGAGTACTGGGAGTGCCCCAGCCTTATGTGCTATGGTTAAAGGGCCTCGTGATGCTGTTCAGGGTCAGCAATGGGAAAGTGAATGGTCAGATGGATAATGGATACATTATAATTAATAATTAGTCTTTTACACATTGGGATCTTGTCCAGCGTTTACTCTCTCCCTTATGTTACCCAGCATAAGTTCTGGATCATGGCTAAAGTGGATTTTGCATGGATGGATGGATGGATGAGTAGTTAGCTCTACCATTATTGACCGATACTATCATTACTGGCAGAGCTGAGTGTCACATGTTAATCTGGATGGCTGCCAGGCGGCCTACAGAGGGGAATCGGTTGTCTGAGGGCTTCGCACCTTGCTGTGACTGTTGTCCCCGTATCTGCCCATGAGGTTGACCCTGTGGCAGTTCTTGTACCAGAAGGCACCCTTGTAGGACAGGGCACAGTTGGTGACGGCGATGTCATTGTCGTTGTCGTAGGTGGAGAAGGGGCGGCCATGGTGATAGGACAAGGAATCACCTGTAGGAGTTGGGGACAGGGGGTGGGAGACAGAGGACTTACCATCCAAAACTCAAATTGGGACAATGAAGACACATAAGAGTAGATAGCAGAGTGATTATGGGCCTTGACGCTGGACCAGTGATTAGTCTTTGTAGGGTCCACTAGTGACTGTTTATGTGTCCCTGTCCCTGCTATCGGCAATTCCCCATTTATTCTCCTTGCCTGGATCCACCTAAGATGTAGCTAGTCTGTGCTGCCTCAGGTGGGGAAGCAGTCCTGACTACAGCGGGACCCCTATATCCATGATTTCCCGTGGTCCGAAACAAAATTGGAAAATCCGAGAAATAAATGGTTCATAAGTTTCAAACTACACGCCAGGTGAGTACAGGTTGAAACATGGTGAAGGTACATGATAGGTACATGACAGGTACATGACAGGTACATGATATGATATTTTTCTTTATAAAATGTGTAACAATATGTTTTTCATTGTTCTTTTGGCCTTTGAGGGGTATAAAAAGCATGATTTTCATTGCTCTGTCATCCCTTGATACAGTACATGCAGTTTTTTCATTGCTCCATCATGTCTCGAGAATTAGTCTAAAATGTCAGAATCCCTTTCATTCATTCAAAAGTGTGTGAGGGAGAGAATACAGTACAGTATTGTATAATAATGTACTTTAATATTACTGTTTTTAATGTTGGTAATGTCGCACTTTGAGTAATTTATGAATCAAACTGTACCATATGTATGTACACAAAAATCATGTTATACCTGGGCTTTGTGGTTCACTATTAGACATAGCTACTGATAATGGATCATGATGCTGGCTGTTAAGGACAGTTATGCTTGCCTGTGGATATATTATCTTTCTTTCGTATTAGTGATTTTGGGATACGGTTCAGGTCTGATGTAATACTGGTATGGGTCCCCCATCTGATATTGAGAAATACCAGAAAACCAACCAGAGTGTCGTTATTTCAATCCCTAATAAAGATGGATGTGTTAATGAATGGTTTAGATGAAGATATGAAGATCAGCTACTAAAAGACCATTGATCAACAATAAAGGTTCAACAGAACCAAGGTCCCATGCCAGGCTAGGCGGCTGGGGTCCACGTGCGTACCAGCTGTGCCACTGTAGCTGCCCACTTGGATTTTGAAGCGGCTGCGGGGGTCGGTCACGCTGAAGTCGTCATAGAGGGCGTAGGCAGTCTCGCCTCGGTCGCGCAGCTCGACGCGGAGCTCATACTTCCCGCTCGTCGTGATCTTGTGGAGGTTGGCGAGGCCTGGAAGACACAGGACGTCACACAGAGCAACATTTAGTGTAATGGGGTGGGATGGAACATTCCGGCATCGGGTGCGCCCCAGGAACTCACCAAGCCAAAACTCGTCGTTGATGTTCCCAAAACCTGCTGTGTAGTTCTTCCAGTTCCTGAAGAAGTTCAGTTTACCATTCTGACGTCGGAGGAACACCTGCAATGGGGGAAGGTCTGACGGTGAGCTCAGAAGATGTCACTTCTATGTGGCGAATGTGCTCCGAGCCGTCGGGGAGCTCCGCCAAAATTAATTAATGCTTAGTCATGTCAGGCTTCAGCAGTTGGTGATAAATGACGTGCATTTAACAGCTAACCTGTTGCGAAATGCATTTACCAGAATGTGGCCCCCACATTAACCAGATTATCATATATCCAGTGTAACAATGGAATAACGAATTTAATCAAACGTCAGTTTCTGATGTTACTAGGTAAGACACCTGTCACAAGTATTTAATATATAAACTTGAATTTTTCAGTTTTTAAAAACAGGATGCTGTCACCCTGTGTAATGAATGAATGTTTCCAGTTAACAGTAAGGCTTGTTGTCCTGTCACAGCATTTCAAGGCTGCTTTGCATATGAATCACCTCTTTCACTGGAAAAGCAGACTGGCGTCAAACAGTCCAAATGATGTACATTTACATGCAAAATCTCAAATTCAGGCAGCTGCCTGTGGCAGGTACTATCAGCATCGGTCAGATTAAAGGCTGCTCTTTTCACATGATGCGTTTCAGGGGCCTGTAGCTGTCGGCCGTTTAACCTTAAACATCTGAACACTGCAACAGCATGAGCATTTGAATTCTGTTTGAAGTGAGAGGAACCTTATCAGATTTAAAGAAGAAAAAACCTTTCAGAATCATACTGTATTCTGTTAGTAACAGACCAGCTGGTGACTCACAATCCATCCACCTCCATCTGTGACCATATCACAGAAGACCTGAACTGGTTGGCTCCCTTCTCCACCCATGTAGATGGTGTAGAGGTCAGAGGTGCTGTCTCCGTTGAGCAATGTTTGTGAGCAGTCCTTCGGATGTGGGTACAGCATGCCAACTACACACACATACACAGGGCATGAAGGTTAATGTCATAGAGCACTGTTTCCCACTCTGGTCCTTGGGGACCCACAGACAGTTCACATTTTTACTCCCTCCCAGTTCCCTGCAAAATGTGGACTGTCTGGGAGGGAGCTGGGAGAGAGCAACAACGTGGATTGTCTGCGGGTCCCCAAGGACTGGGTTGGAAGACACTGGGATAGAGAGAAAGAACAGGACAGTCAGAAGGAGAATAGGATCAAGGAAGCCCAACAGAAGAAAGCAGGCTGTCGATGGGAGAAGGAGGAAGGACGTGTGGGAGGAATCTGTAGTAACTGGTGTCCAGGTCGGACTCACTGGTGGTGAAAAGAACCTGGATGGGTTGGCTTGTCTTGGGCCCAGCAGTGGCCCGCAGTCTGGCTGTGTATGTTGTGCCAGGGATCAAGGAACTTAACTCGTACGAGGTGGCTGCAGGGTTCAGGGCCACTTCCTGGACAGACAAGAAACAAAACAGAATGGGTGTCAAACCTATCAGCCGGTGTTTTGTAGAAGACGGGCGTGAACGAAGAGGCTGCTGTCAGCCAGTTTTACTTTGGATCTCAGAACTTTATAGATGGGCTGCTGATAAAACTAAACTATTGGGTCTTCCTGCTTTTTCTGATTTGCAACCAGTAGTGTATATGTTCAAATCCCAGGCAAACTTATGGGTATTACTATTTTATATGTGATTGTATAGAAGGACAACACAGTTTCAGTATTTGATTTTCATCTGCTTAATCTTCTATACCTGCTTGTTCTATGCAGGGTCACGGGGTCCAGATGTATGAATGCAAGGCAGGGATAACCCAGGATGGGCCACCAACCCATAGCAGGGCACTCCATTCCAGAGCATGTGAGCGGAGCGGAGCGGTGAGAATTTCCGCTCCTCGCTCACGAGGCTGTTGGCTCCGCCCGCTCCCCCGCTCTAATTCGCACTAAGCCGCTCCGCTCAACACCGCTCCTCGCTCCACTAAAATGTCCTCCCGCTCCAGTCAAATCGCTTCACGCTCGCTCCAATTTAAAAGAGGAACAAATAATCTGCATGCCTAACAAATGTCACGTTAAACCGAAGCCTTATGTCATAAAGAAATATGAGCAACGGCAACATTGCCAGTCAGAACAGAAAATATTTATTTTTAAGCAACCTATCGGCAACAACGGACAGGTTTGGAAATGGCATTCCACACAAAAATAGGCTTAAAAATAAAGGAATCAGTGGGTTTAATAGCCTAAAGAATATACAGACACGTTTTAAATTCCTCAATTTTTTTCTGTTGATGCAGCACGTCTCTAAAATAAAAATTTACGTTACGTGAAATTAAAAAAAAATCTTATTAGACCTACTTTGAATGACAAAACGAATTTATTTGATTACCAATATTTACTTTATAGGCTTTTATACTTTAATTTTATAGACTTGATATGCTACAACCATATAAAACTTGCACGCGTTTTGCTCTGGCTTCCGCTTGTTCGCGTAGCACACTCATGTTTCTGAGAAAAGTGATTCCAAAGTGAATCTTTACTCACTGAAACAGTTTCACCACATTGTTGTTCTTGCTGTACATGCTTGTCATCTATACGTTTGATAAGAATAGTACACTTGTATGATTTATCAGTTTCCTTTGTGAAATACTTTGCGAATTCCATCTCGGCCAATTTGTGTAACAGTCTTGATAATTGTACAGATGAATTCTGGGTAGATTTGGGCACGCCTCAGAATTGTAGTGTGAGCGGTATCGGAGCGAAATTGGAGCGAGACAAAGCGACCGCTCCAGCCTTAATTAGAAAACCCGCTCCGCGCTCTGACCAAATTCCGCCCGCTCCGCTCCTCGCTCATGCTCCGCTCCGCTCACATGCTCTGCTCCATTCATACGCACAATCACACCTATGGGCAATATGGCAACTCCATTTAACCTTGACATGTTTTTAGACTGTACTAAACCAGAAAACCCAGAGGAAAACCCACAGTGACAAGGCAAACTCCACACACGTAGAGCCAGCGCAGAGATTCGAACCCTAGTCCGAGAGGTGTGAGACAAGTGCTAACCACTGCACCACCTCGCCACCCCCTCAGTAGATTTTAAGATGTAATTATTAATGTGTAAATACTAATGATGGACAATTGACCTACAAAGTTAGATGTCCTTCTCACAGAAGGTCAACATTTCCGTACAGAATCTGCAATAAGCAGCGCAGTGGGTATGGAACAGCACTGACCCTCATGGAGTCGTTGGCTGACCCGTAGCTCAGGATGTAGCCATTGATATGAGAGCGAGGGGGGTTCCAGGTGAGGGTGGCATGGTCACCCTGGACATTAGTGACAGCCAGGTCACGGGGGGCATCCACATCTGGAACAGAGGGTGGAGTTAACACACAGCCTGCTTCTCAGACAAGCGGTAGATTACTGCTGAAGTGGAAACGGCAGGCGTGATACTTGCCGGTGGTGAAGTCTGTGCCACTGGGCTCGCTCCTCTGCCCTTCCCTTATCGCCTTCACACTGACGGAATAGGTTGTGCCTGGCTTCAGAGAGGTCATCTCAAACTCCACCGTGTTCCCGGACACCTGCTCCACCGTAGGGGGCTCTGAATGCATAACAGGGCTCTCTGCTCAGAAACCCCAAAGGCAACACCCTCCTTCCAAGGACTGCCCTCAAACTACCCAGAATCCCCCTCTGCTTCCTGTACCTGTGCCCGTGCTATAGGTGATGATGTAGCTGTCGATGGTGGCTGCGGCAGGCTGCCAGAGCAGCAAGGCCTTGGTGTCGGTCACGTTGACGACGGTCACGCCTCGCGGTTTGTCCAGGGCTGCAGGGGAAATGCGTTAATATGTCGTGACGCCAGCTTTTCCCCCCACAAAAGATGTTTATGCAGTACAGAAAGCAGAGGCAGCCCCGCCGTCACTGACAGACCCACCTGCAGTAAATGTGTCCGTTCTGGGCTCGCTCTCCTCAAAGCCCTTAATGGCGACCACATGGACCTGGTAGGTCACCCCAGGGGTCAGGTTTGGAAGCTCAGCTTTGGATTCTGTCCCGTCTGCCGTCACGACCCTCGGGGCGCCTGTGTACAGATCAGCAAGTCTGTGATTTGATTGAGCTCTCGACAATTTTTGCAAGTTAGCTCAAACTGCATGGATTTCTGTCTTTTAACAAATATACTGTAGTTTATAATGATTCATCAGCAAGGAATTTACTGAAATACATCATATTTTTGTGTAGATTAATTTCAACTTTATAGAAATATTTTGACTAAAAAAATGTATTCACTGTGGAAATACTGCTGGGGAAAAAATTAAGAGACCATACGGCAATGTTTTATTTCATTCATTTCTAAATTGATGGGTTTCACTCATTTCTAAATTTATGGGTATATGCCTGTGTAAAATATAATATTTTTTTGTAAACTCCAACCTGATTTTTCTGTGTCTCTCATTAATGAAGGGCTTCTTCCATGTTCTATGGGACTTCAGTCCTGCTTCTAGGAGCCTGATACAAACTGTCCTAACAGTGCACTTTATACCTGCGTTTAACGTTTCCCACTCCTTTTGAAGGTCACTTGAGGTCATCATTAGATTCATGAGAAACTGTTGGATAAGTTAACGGTCATCTCTGGCATTAGAAAGTCACTTCCATACTTTACCTGGCTGGTTTCTGGTCATTCCCAGTTTCTCCTGCTTCACCTTATTCTTGTGTACTGCTCTCTTAATTTTGAACCTGGAAGCAACATGCTGCTCAGTGTAGACTGTTGCCAGCAGAACCAAGATTAAACCAGGATTTAATAACGCAGATTTGTTTAACGACATAGAGTGGTCTCTTAATTTTTTCCGCAGCTGTGTTTAGAAATGCAGTGACACCGGAGATTATTGCTAGACACCACTAGAGGGCAGGCTTTGAACTGTACGATGCACCAAACATCCACGAAATTGAAAATGAAAGCAAATGGAACAAAAATGAGGTCCATTTAAAAAATTGTACATGTTTTTATTAGAATAACTATATAAATTCCTTCTACATTCCTTCCAGCTTAACACTGTCTTATATAGTCTTTTGTATGTCAGTGTGGCTGAAGAAATAAGGATTCCAATGCTCCTGTTGCAATGGCCAATAAAGAATATTGACTTTTAAATCCGATTGGTATCTGTTAATAGTCCACGTGCACATGCCCTGTGATGGACTGCCATTTCATCCTATGGATGGAATGATCCATAGGGCAATGGGTGGAAATGATGTTGTTTTTTGTGTTGACTAAAAAAGCTGACAGAAATCTAGGGTTCTCAGGGCCAATATTGAAATTATATCCTGTGTATCAGACAGCCCTGGAGATGAATAGAGTTATGAAATGAGTCTCCTGGCACGGACCAGTGGAAACATCTGTGGATCTCTTCTTTCAGACAGCGGCAACTGACCCAAGAAGTACAAATAGTAGTCCCTGAGACCAATGTTTCCAAATCCAGTCTTCAGGGACCCACAGTCGGTCCATGTTTTTGCTCCCTCCCAACTCCCTGCCAGACAGTCTACATTTTTGCTCCCTCCCAACTCCCGGAAGCAAATACGCAGCCTGTCTGTGGATCCACAGGGATTGTACTGGGAAACACTGCCTGAGACTATACTTAAAAATGGAGAGATTCTCAGCCTGCTGACAGGCTGAAATTCAACCCAAGACTGTCAAACTGCTTAAAGAAAGCAGGATGCCCACAGGTGTTGAGGTGCAGTGGAAATTTAGCGTACTTACCTCCCTGGATCGGCACGTAGGTGACCCGGTAACTGTCCACAGGAGTGGGGAGCTTAGTCCAGTGGACGGTGGAGGAGGTGTCGGTGACATCGGAAAACCTGATGCCCATGGGGGAGTTAAGGGCTGTTGTGGGGGGAGGGGGACAAAATATGGCAAAATCAGAATAGATAATGGTGATTTTGAACGTGGATGTCCATCAATATTGGCTTCTCCAGACAGGTTTTCGCTTTGCTGTGCGGTTGTTCTCTGAATACCACACAAACCATGACACATCAGCAAAATACAGAGAAACATAACCGAACATGTCTGAGGGTGACTTTGGACTGGGGTTAGTTTTTAGGTCCGAAACAACAACAACCACAAAACAAAATGCTAAGGAGATGGTGATTATAGCAAGGCCACAGAAAAAACACAATGCAAAGAAAAACAGGTAAGTTGCTGGACTTCATCTAGTCTATAGCTGTTGCTACTGAGAGACGATGTCATGCTGCTATCAAAGATGTCATCTGACCCAGTCGGGGGACCAAGGAGCAGTCAAAACAAGCCATGTTCCTTGGACAATGCAGGACAAATGGAATTTGTGCAAATGCACAGAAACACTCCATTAGCACAAGTCAATAGCATGCGGATAGAGAAATAAAATCAACAAGTCCTTCAGATGAATGCAACGACACAGTAGCGACCGATGCAAAACCCTTCGTGCCACAAACAAACGAAATACAAATGAATGACACGCTGTCACTTCTGGGTAAAATATGACAATGCCGAATATATGTACACGCAGTTTATTGTGGATTGATAACAGTATGACTTTGCTCACACACATGCAACTGATTTTCAGGCAAGCAAACACAAATCAAGCAAAACTATGCATTTTTAAGAAGTTTAACGGTAACGATATGAAGCAATATGAAGGTTCAACAGCCGTCCCCTTTTCTTCACTCCCATTTTCTAGCCCCAAAAAGATACCTGTTCTAGCGACACCGGTTATGGGCTGGGAGCGCCGTTCCAGAGTTACCCCGTACAGCTCAATTTCGTACTCCGTGCCCCCGGCGAGACCTGTTAAGACCTTTGTCCTCTCTTGGCTGGAGACGCTGACCTCTTTCGGGTGTGCGAGTTTTTTCGAGTCTCTCACTTTAATCACGAATCTGTCGAAGACGTCGTCTTCGGCGGTCCAGGCCAGGCGGAAACTTTCGGAGGTAATGTCCGAAACAAAAAGGTGTTCCACCTCAGGTTCAGCCTCTGCGTGACAAGGAGGGGACAACTTTCTTTCTTTTTTTATTTTGGTCCCGTGAAAAAAAGCTACATTTTTGAACATCATTGCATGAAGATGATGAGGATGATGATGGAGATGATGAAGATGATGGTAATTGTTATAACGGTTAGATGAATGAAAACTCGGCGCTCCCAAACAAACAGTGGTTGCGTCGATTAATGAACTGTGTCAATCTTGATGACTCTACCATGCTTTCGGAGGTTAGGGTTTGTGTTAGTCGAGACACAGTGAGACAGAAGCAGAGCTGCTGCAGTTGTATCGTTTCAATGGGCAAATTGTGCGATATTGCATGCGGTTTTTAAATTGCAGGTAAAGATCTGTGGCCCAGAATATTCACAAAGACTGCAGAAGGTGCTCCACTGATGTCATTGCCGTGTCTTTGCATGAAAGCGGAATCCACAGGGAGAGGATCTCTGTTCGCTCATTACCTTCTAAACCCATGCATCCGTCTGACACATCAACTGACATTCAGTAGCAGCTCAAAAACAGAGCAAATTACTAAATCAACTGACATTTCATGCTGAAAATGCCTCGTTGATGCCGCTGTGTTTCCCAGATGGCAGCATTGTGCCGTGAGGTAGTAACGGCTCACTCATCTTTGGGTTCAACGGCAAAAGTGTCCTCAGAAACATGAACAATACCACAAAGCGTTAACGTTTGCGCGTTACTTCACAGTAAATAACCACAGCTACCGATTGTTTTGCCAGAAGGTTCAGGGAGACTTTGGTTGAATGTACAAAACGTTCAGTCCTGCCAGAGGTGACCGACAGCTGGTTTTCTACTTTCAACCAAACGCAGGCCCTGGTGTTTAATCGTGTTAAAAAGGAGACACATGCTTCATGACATTTAAGAGGAGGTTCATCTTGGTTATTTAACTCAACAATTCACGAAGCGCAGCTTGTAAGGTAGAGGGCCAGGAAACCAGGTCATACAACGGAGAGATTGGAAAACACAGTTGAAAATACGGCAAACAGGCTGCTTGCCCATATTTTTCTTGTGAAACATTAAAAAGGAAAGTGGTCATGGGTGAAGAAGACAAGGAAGAAGGGGGTAGATGGGTACTGTTGAGGTTTCTCTACCAAAGCATTCAGTGCCAGATGTATATTTGTTTCATATCTGAACATTTCCAACAGAGTAAACTGCACCTCTAATCCACGCGAAAAGACCAGCCCCGAAGCTCCCCATTTTTTGTTTGAGAAACAGAAATGGAAAGCTCAGCTCAGAAGCGGTGGGTCCTTTGACGTGCACCAGTGGGATGATTCCCCCTGGAGTTAAGCAATTTCTGCTTTTTTAAAAAAAATGGGATAGTTGCGTTTAGAAGCTAAAACGACCACAGGAATTCAGCAGCCTGTCTGATGAGGATACTGACCAGCATTTGCTGTTTTCCTGACGGGGGGGTCAGCTCAGTCCCCTATGACCCGGCCCCCTTTCTAACGTCCCAGTGCGTTGGTGGAGAGCCCTCTGTTTGTCAGGAATGATGGTACCTGTCACGGCCACTGTGGTCAGGGGCCGGGACCACAGTCCCGACTTAGTGACCCCGGTCAGCTGGACCTCGTAGCCTATGCCTGTTATCAGGCCCCGGATGTCCAGCGAGGTCTGGTTGCCCGTCACCGTGAACTCCTGAGGTTCCAGAAGCCAGCCGGAGTCCGTCACCACTAAGTGAAAGTGGTCAAAACCGCCAGGCTGGTCGCCGTGCCGCGCTGTCCAGGACACCCGAAAACCGAACGGGCTCACATCCGAAATATTTAGGTTTTCCACCTTGGGCAACTCCGCTGGAGGAAACAGTAGTGGGGAGGGTTATTGCATATTACGAGGGGAGCAGTAGGAAAGGGGGCACTGACGATTCGGGGGTCACAAGTGTGAATGGGAGGTTAATGCACGCTCTGCTAAATATTTACACCAACAAACCATCAAGCTCCATTTAATTCCTCAGAAGACTAAACATCACCACATATCTAACACCTAAAGACATACTAGCATGACTTAAGAGTTCTTATACAAACAATACAAAGTACACACTTTTTAAACAGGGCTGTCTTTTATCAAGGTAAAGCCACTATCAATTAATTACAGAGTTTTGGCTTCTAAATCAAATCCAGTATGAATCTACGATTGGCTCAATCTCTGTAGCCTAAATATCCAGCTTCCATACAAGAAATGCAGTTAGAAGCCGTTAAATATTAAATTACAACAGCAGTTGTGTTAAAAAATATATATTCAAGACGTTAGATGGAAGTATTTTCTACAAACTTGGAAGAATCCAGTCTTGATAATTGCATGCATGGAGGCTTATGAATGGTTAGCATGACATTCAGGCTTTAGATAAATGGCCCAGTAGTTCACTTTGCCATTTATTCACACTCAGTGGTGAACAACATAATCTTATCTGCCTCTGTGCTAAATGTGGGTTCTGACCATAGGGTACAAGGTAAACACACCCAGGTTCTTTGGACAACCCAGCAAAGAATTAGTGCCTGGATTGGCCTTGCAAACAGAGTGACAGGCAGACATTCATCTGTTAGTGGGACAAAGTGCTGTATAATCATGCCAATGTAATCGGATAAAGGTGCTACGCGATAGATTTTGGGGTTTCGTTGAACACTTTCAAAGAGACAAAACGGTGGACAGCTGGGGGATGGTGGTATGGGGGGGGGGAGTATGCAGTGGGGGGGGGAGGTGGCAAAAAAATCCAGACACACAGTTCAAAGGAACTGAGCAGCCGTCCCGCTGAGTCTCCCCGGAACATCGGGATGGATTGTTCAATCTGGATCTCAGTGGCCAGCCGTTGATCTTCCTCCCCAGACAAGTTCAAAAGAAACACTGATCCAAACCTCCCAGACAGGTCAGAATCCTAATTGTTTTTCGCCTTTCTACTCCCAAGCCCAGAATTCCCGCTGCCAAGACGCTGCAGAATCGGAGCAGAATCTCCGCTGTGCTCAAAGCCGCGCTCAGGAATTCTCAACACACAGCAGCCTTTACCTCAGTAGGCGTTAGCGTTATTGGGTTTAGGATCTTACAGGAGGAGGTCGTCTGAAATGCAACGTCACCTCAAAGGCTTGTTTGACACCCACCCAGGTCAAATAAGCACACGGACTGGACCGGAGTCAATAGCAGCAGTGCTAAGAAAATGCTTCAAAGGACTGGGATTGAGCCAAATGTTACTCACCAGACAGCCTGTCCTGTAAGCATCAGCATGCACGGTGGTGCTGTTGGGTTTTTAGTCTGTCGCCTTCGTTACTGTGGTTACTCCGGGGCAAGGGAAAATGTCAGAAAGCAGGCAAGGGCATGCAGGGGTGTTCGGGGGGGGCAGAACGAGCTCCCCTAAGAAAAAGCTGTCGCATGGCAGTCTGGATATCACTCAAGCGTGCTGCTTTTATAGCTTTATCCGCTATAAAAGCTAGAAATAATCTGACCAGTAGGTGGCAGCACCGAGTAACGGGGAAGATTAATCAAATCTCCAAATCAATGCTTCCTGCACTGTCCGATGGGGCAGGTATAAATGGTGGTGGTGGTGGTGGGGTACCTGTGACGGCATGGGTGGTGAGCGAGGGGGTGCGAATCCCGTGGGAGATGCCATACAGCTCGATGTCGTAGGGGGTGGCGTCCACCAGACCCACGACGCTGCCGTGTCGAGCTCCCCCAGGGAGCCAAAGCTCCAGGGCATCGTACAGCTGCTCCGAGTCACTGACCCGGACCATGAAGCCATCAAAGTGACCTGCCACTGTGCTCCAAGACAGCGTGAAGTTATCTGGGCCTACGTCAGACACCTTTACAGAGCCCAGCTGAGGATCAGCCTCTGAACAGAGAAAGAGTTGGTGTTGGCCTGTTTACACGAATACTCTGCTAAACAGGTTTGATCTTTCATTATGGTAACTGCTGTCTGTCCTTTAGGCTTGGAGCCTATCCCAGGCAGAATAGGGCACAAGACAGGGGTATGTCAGACCTTCCCTGTCCACACATGTACACGCTCAGGCATTATGGGGAATCTAGAGATGCCGCTTAGCCTAACTGCTCATCTTTGGATTGTGGCAGGAAACTGGTGTCCCCGCATAACACGGGACGAACATGCAAACTGTACACATAGACCAGAGACTGGATTCAAACCAGCAGCCCTGGAGGAGTGAGGTTACAGTGCTACCACAGAGCCACTGGAGTCCCTTAGTGTATCCTCCGGAGATCCAGGGAGCACAAGATTTTTAAATATTGATTAAATTATTGATTTGGCAGGAAGAGCTTGTTGGCAGGGTCACACCCCCATACATGGAAAGTCGTCGTTAAGCCCAAACTGTCTTCTTAAAGGAACAACAGGACTTAATAAAGTGGCATGTTTAATATTAGAGATACGAGCAAAAGCAGAAATGTCCTCTACAGAGGACACGAATGAAATACTGAATGTAGCTAACAAAAGTGAAGGGCAGAAACGTTATATCCTACGTAGCACACATACGTCTAGCCAGTGGATAATTTGAAGTAATTGCTATCTTGTTTTTGATCTTTCACCTGTATTTGTGAAGTAATCACCTCAGATTAGTGCTGGCTGCAAGTCAGAAACTGTCTTTGCATAGACGTCTTGTCAGTTATCAAACCAGTTGAGTACTACATTGTTTAGACATAACTTGTGTATGTTGGGCAGACACTGACTATATGTCTGCTGTGGGATGTTATACCCTGATATGTTTCCTTATCTGATTTTGGAACCACTGATCCAGGTAAATTATGGGGATCTATGAATAAATGTACAAATCCACATCTGCTGCATGGTTACTACGACTTCTTACTCACAACTCACAGTCATGGCACTTGCATAATTCCATAATCTAGATCATACAAGCGCCGTGCTCGCTGACTAAACTGTCAGGAAAGGCATGCTTAATCTCTACTTTGATTCCCCCACAAAGTCGCAAATACATGTTAATAAGATGGTCGAGCTCAGAGATGAACCAAACGAATGTAGCTACAGATGTAGCTGGGAGGGAAAGTGGACAGGAAGTACCTGTGGTCGCTACAGCTGTTAGCGGTGGCGTATTGAGTCCGCCGACGTTGCCATACAGCTTGATGTCATATTGTGTGTCCCCGCGCAGCCCTGAGATCTCCGTGGAGCGGGCCGACGTAGGGAGCGTGCGGCCCATCGCCCGAGATGGCACCGCCGACTCCCTGACCTCCACGACAAAGTTGTCGAAGGACTTGGCGTTCGTCCGCCAGGAGAGCGAGAGTCTGTCTGAGGTAACGTTAAAAACAACTAGCCTGGCCAAGTGAGGTTCTGTAGCTATGGAGGAGAAGAGAGTCAGCGTTTGTTCATTAAAAACAAAATAGCCCATTTGTTTGCTTTCTGTTTAGGTTATCTGACTCCATCAGCCTACGCACTTCTCTCTTCCATCTGCCTAGTGCAGGACACCAGGAAGATCTACGACGAAAGTAATTATCGCAAGTACTCATGGATTTGACCCTCCAAAGGAATCTTCTTATGTACTTGAATACACCCAGGGCACAGCAGGAACATGGATACAGAGAAGTCGCTACAGATTTTGGGCCCTGTGAAGGCATATGATATTGGACCCCCAACCAGACCAGTCCAATTATGTTGGGGCCATTGGAATTGTCCTTATTTTCCCTCCCTTTCAGCACACCTGCATGGATATGTTGACAGATTCAAGAGGCCCTTGAATACATAAAATTATTGTACAAGGGAAGTGATGCGGGGTAGGGGGCTCAAGGTGACATTTAGTCTGGGGGGCCAGAATTTACAGCTATGCCCCTGATTATATCTACATGCCACAAGACGTAAAATGGAGAGGTCAGAATACCAATGGCATTCAAAGCATGGTGAGTAGTGACTAAAGTATTACAGGAAATGCATTTATGACATTATAAAATGGGAAGGAGCAACAGTACCTGTCGTCGCGACTGCACTGACCGCCTGCGTTCTCACCCCCTTTACAACCCCATAGAGGTAGGCTACATAGTCAGTACTGGCGCTCAGACCAGTGATCTCATGGGACAGTGCATTGTGGGATAGGTTGTACTCCATTGGTTCGAACAGCCAGTTGGAATCAATGATCTCCAGGACATAGCCCTCAAAGATTCCATCTGTGCCATTCCAGGAAATGGTGAAGCTTTCTGACGTTACGTTAGACACAAGCAGCGTGCCAACTTCGGGCTCTGGCACTGAAGGAAGGAATGATTATTGGCTTTTTGAAGACAGTGGTAGAAGAAGAATACCTAGCGCCTAGCCTCACATATATATGGTTCATAACTCAACACACCAGGACAATCATAGCAGACATACTGTAACACTACATGAACTTTTTCATGTGTTTTCATGTGTTTCATGTACTTGTGTTCTATCTGTATCACTTTAATTTACACCATTTTCCACTGCAAATATTACCTCTTCTGATCATTCTAGCCAATTCATGCTGTTTCAGAAGTGAGCTCCTCTTTTTTGTAATGAAGCTAAGGCTATCTCAAAGGTGTGCTATCAAAGGCTAACCCCGATGAATAATTTCTGAAGAACATGTTTTCAGTCTAGACTCCTTTCGAGGGAGGCTATGAGTCACAGTAAAAGCACTAGTTCAACAAAACATTAGTAAAACATTCTGCGTTCTGCATACATCTGAACTGTGCAACGTCAAGGGTTATGATAATGTTAGGAGTACAGCCATCGGTACAGTACCAGACAGGGATTATGGTAAAAATACTCTTTAAATTGTAAACTTTTGTAAAGTGACATTATAAACTATTTATAGTTTACAATGTGAGTATTATTTCAGTATAAGAAAAATGTGATTAAAACCATAATCTAGCTAAACTGTCAGGTTAATACAACTGCACATACACATAACTGATATTCACAAGCCTTAATCTGGCAGTTTCATCGGAGATGGCAGTTTGAAGCAGTGGGAATGCTGCAGTAAAATGCAGGGCTTAAATAACTTCATAAAATCCACTTTAATAGTGGGTTTAACAGTAAAACATTAAAACGCACAAAAGAGAAGGGAAGACACATACCAACATTCATACAGTTAGGGTTAGAAAATATGAAACAAGGCAAAGGAGAAGGAAGAGTTTGTTACTAAAATGAAAAGCTTTCCCTGCCATTATTTGTCAGAGTTTAATGGTGACGTGTAGATACTTGTTTGCACTGTGATATGATGACAGGCGGCTCACGAAGAGGCCAGATTAGTCAGGCAGACACACTGCAAGTGAGTCTTTCTCCTGAATGGAAGATATAATTTTACATTTTTTTAAATCAATTTAGTCAAGAATTTAACTGCTCCTTTCATATCCCTCCATTCATTTTCCCAACAATGACGACCTTAACCCCTACCCAGTCCTAACCTTAACTGTAAGTAACCAAACACAATATAAGACTTTTTGTATTTTTGTTTTTTTGACTGCAGTCACAGATTTTTATAAAATTGGGTTTCCCCTTGTGGGGACCGAAAGAATGGTCCCCACAACATCAAAATAACAGATTTGTACCACATTGTGGGTCATTATACATAAGCCCCCCCCACACACACACACACACATACATTTACTTTATATATCCTCTAGAATGAAACAGTTTGGCTTAATGAACAAATTCCTCATGTTTAGAAATTAATGAGAAGAAGGTTCTACAGAACCATCTGAAGTTCTTCCACCCAGGACTGACATCACATCACAGTGAGTAGAGCTGGCATGCAGATGATGACAGCAAAGGAGCGTTGTCATGGCAACGCAAAGGGCAAGTTGAGAAGCACACAGCGGGCAAGGGAGACACACACTCCAGGGAAGATGGAACAGCAGATGCCCTCAGCTAAAGCTCACATGCAGTGGATGTACATAGCCTGGATCAGAAGTCAGAATAATATATATAAACTCTCTCATTGGCAAATATTTCAGCAGCAATAATTATTTCTGTATATATTACTGTCCATTTTTGTTCTGTCCACTAGAGGCAGTGTCACAGAAATTGGTCAAGCTGCATGGTATAAAGACTGCAAGTTAAACTGCATGTAACTAACACTAACTTGTGAACCTAACTGGCGCTGAGGGTGAATCACAAGCATGTGAGCATTAATCAGGAGACACGACTGTTAAGCACAATTAGCAAACAGGAAAAATAGTTCTAGATTATGGTCATCTCATGGTTAAGGTATGTTCATGCATGCAAATGTATGGTCTACTTGGTTCATTTACTATGAATTAAGATGGAATGACGTCAACAGATGTGGTTTGATCTGGTGGATGCAATAAGCCCAAACTGGTGTTTTGTGGTGTAGTATTGGATGGACGGGAACCATACAGACATGCAGGGGCACTGGGGACGTGAGCTGGACTGGAGACAGGTTGTTGAGGGGGTGGAAGGTGCCAAGGTGAGTACACAAGATGGTTGTTAAAATGGCAATGATGGGAAATGATTCAATGCATTGCAGTTTCATTCTCTTCATTTGCTCACGCTTCATGCTGAACAGACTGACGTGGGACGTGAGGTTCCACTGAACAGAACAAAACTCTGTTCCAATGACATGTGGTGAGGGGAAGAAGTGTGAGAAGGAGACATGAAGAGAGAAATACCTGTGGTGACTTCGGCAAGGGCCGTCTCTAAGAGCGACCCCCGGTGGAAGCCACGCACTGAAACCACATACGAAGAGTTGGGGCTCAGCTGAGCGATGCCCACACTCCGGGCGTCGCCGGGGAGCGTGTGGTTCTGCCCGTTGGCCCAACCATCTGAATCTGCAACCTCAATCAGAAAGCCATTGAAGGCTACCTCGCCTGATGTGTCCCAGGACACGCGGAAGCTGTTCCACAGCACGTCAGACACGGTGAGGTTCACCACCCGGGGCTCCGCCTCCTCTGGTTGGCAAAACAGACCGGAAATGTATCTAAGCGGCGGGGGATGACTTTACATCTGCAGGGTTCAGCTTCAGAACCTCAGTGCAGTGTTTCTATTGGTCTTCCCCCAAGAAAATCAATATCACTTTCAACAAATGAGCTCTTTTAGCTGTGGTCATTTTTTTTTTAAGACAAGCCAAGGTATGCACAAGCAGATGTCAAGAAAAAATGCATTTATCAAATTTATATTCATGTAAACCATGCATTCAGGCAATGATGTCTAAGGAACTGAACTGGACAAAGGGTGTGGATTCAGTGATCTCAGGAAGAGAGCTGCCGATGGTGTCACCTCGATTCCTTCAGAAAGGTAAACAAGGTACGACATAATATATGACAAATACAAAAATACAGTGACATGATATTACAGTAAGATACTTTGTGGGAAAATAGTTTTGAGAATGAACATTTCTTTATGCCAGTGATCGCGTGTAGCTATTTTACATGAACATGCAGATCTTGGGCTGCAGAGAAACAATCGCTGATTTTCATCAGGAATGCTGGAGTGTGTTGCATTATGAGAGATGGTTGTGATCCTGATGTGTGCAGAAGTTCTCTAACAATCCAAGTGAGATTTTGCTTGCGATATTTGGGGACTGAAATTTTACAGTGCAGCATGGACTGTTTGTGGAGCCAGAATCACCACTGGCTTAGGAGGTTGATGTTACAGCTACTGGACATGATAGTTTGTGGTCAAACTGTAGATCTTTCATGTTAAATGTGCCTCCTGGGTACACAATACCACAATATGCAATACCGTGCAGAAGTCTTAGGCTGCCAAAGAAAATCACTATTTCAAAACCACTCCTTAAGTGACCATAATATTTGTAGTTACTGTCCAAAATATCCATGTCTTTGCTGTAATCACCAGCACACCCTGTATGATTAATACTTTAAGAAATTTGTGAATTTGGTTAATCAAGTGAGACAGTGGTAAAATATAACAAAGCCATTAATTAAGTGACTGCTCATGGGGATTTTTGGGAGCCCAAGGTGAGGTCTTCCAGCCATCAAACAAGATAAGGAGGAGAAATTCTTGTTATATTGCTATTTGTATATATTCTAATGTTAGATATTTCTTTTACTGAGCGAATTCACACACGTACAGCCTAAGACCTTTGCACGGGACTGTATAGCAAGATGATGAGGATGAGTGTAATGAGGAAGATGACAAAGATGAAAATGATGATGAGGAAGAGGATGATGGTCAAGATGTTTTCTTCATGGTGTTTATTCAGCACAAATGACACCAATGAATGAGTCTTAAACGAAAGTACAAAGAGCTGTGGGTGCGAGAAATGCTACTTGGGTTAGATGTCAAGGTCAGCGCCTGATCCTGACACGAAGGGGTCTGATCCTGCCCTTCGTGTCGTTTCCCAGTTTGGCCAGCAGGTGTTGCTGGCCATCCTGTCCTGTCACTCCTTGTCTGATAATCCTTCTGTGTGTCCTCTATTCCCTGGCCTGCTGCTTAGCTCACTGGGTTGAGTGTGTGGCTCTGACACTGATTCCCTCCAGTGATGTGCTTAAAGCTGTCCAGTGACCAGCATCACTAGTTACAGTGGTGCCTCAGTACTCAAACTCATTAGAGCCTGAATTTCTTAAAAGTCGAGCCAACCAGTTTAAAAAAAAAAATGGCTTAGAACTCGATCTGAATCTCAGAACCGTGAACGCTGACCTAAGATGACTTGTACGCATGGGGAAATGAGTCACGTGGCACGTCTCTCAGCGGAAACAAAGGGTAAAGCTTTAGTCTCAGCCTCGCATTTGCTGTGATAGCATCGTTTGCTGGTGATAGTAATTTTTTTTATTGAAAAATACACTATACAGGTAATACACTATACTTTATAGCATTTTGGTACCCGTTGCACATTGTTTGGATACATTTATTTTCTTACTCTACAAATTTGTCACGCCCGGCTTGTACGATCCTCCTGTGTGCCCCCCTCGTTAACCTCGCGTGATATCCCGATGTCATCAGCTGTTTCTCGTTATTTCCAGTTAGTCATGTGTATTTAAGTCTGCGTTCAGGTACGTTTCCCCAGTCCTGTCATTGACGTCTACTCCGTGTTGTGCCTTGTTTGCCAGCAGTAAACCCTGTGTTCTTGGATTTCTGTCTGCCTAACCCTGATTCCGCGCTCCCTGCTCGCTCATCCTGCACGTGGTGTGACAAAATTACTGTTTTGATAAATTAAATGTGCTTAGATGTGTTTAGTATATGCTCTTCTTGTTCATTTTGTGTTTAAATGCTAAAAAAAAAACATATTTCGGTGTAATTTTTTTGGGGCCAGGAGCCAATTAATTGGTTTTCAATTATTTCTTATGGGGAAAATTCGATCAGAACTGGAACTTTTTAGGATTCGAACCCGAGTTCTGAACAGATTAAGTTTGAGTTCAGAGGTACCACTGTATTTGTATTTGTTATTTTTCTGTTCCTTGGTGTTTATTTTGTGTCTTAATTCCTGTGCTTGGTTCACCCTTCTACTGTTCTGTTCTGGTTTTGTTTTGTACCTTTTGATTTAGTAATTGATTAGCTTTGCTTTGTATTCCCAGTGCCAGAGAATGTCTAAGCCTCTTAGTTCTGTGTTCATCTTGGGTAAGTACTGTAGTTCCACTTGTTTCTCATTCCTGTGTCTTCCCTGATTGGTTAATTCATTATTGAGTTACACCTGTCCCTTGTTTGTCCCGATTCCCTGTGTGTGTGTCCACTCTGTTCTCTAGTCGCGAATTCTAGTTGCATGTTAGTGTTCAGAAGTGTTTGTTACGGTGTGTTATTTGCGTTGCTTTTTTTGTGCCTGATCTTGTTCCCGGTGGTTTCTTAGTTCTCTAGTTGTGTTTTTTCCTAGTTGTTCCCTGTTTTTCTGATCCCTCGTGGTCCATTTGGTTTTGTAGCGTGTTTTATTTTGTAATAAACCCCTTGCAATCGTAGGGCTGCCAGTGGATCGTTACTCTTTTCCTGCCTGCACCATGCCACGCTGCAAAATTAGGTGGGTGTTTCCCTTATTGCAGCAAGTGGGAGTAATAACCAGCACATCCACATAAGGGGTCTGCAGTTTTACCCTTTCAAAAAAATCCCCTACATAAACTATGTTCTCTGAGACAAAATGAATTGCAAAGCTAAATAGTAATACAGTCAGTTTTTTGGAATTAGTTTAGATAAAAACCTGGTGCGGAGGTACATAAAAATACATCATTTTCTGTAGGATTTTGGTGAATGGATCATTCTAATCACTATAAACAGGGACTGACATACAGTAAGTAGTATGCAAGTACAGTATGCATTCACTTTAAAAGCAATACGTGCGGCAATCGATTGTTGTACCAGCATGAATGCGTATGTATTTTATGTGCATTTGCACTGATATGACAAGAAATTATCCTGCATTTTAACCTTTATATGCTACTTCATGCTTCATTTGTGGTATAGAGGTTAAAATGCATGATCATTTCTTGTCAATACCTACATTTTCCCCAATATTGACTTTTTATGATGTCAAAAACGATGTCATGACATTCCCCTGCAATCCCTGCAGAATGGCCCTTCAAACCCCTCAAGTATTAATCGTTATCTTGTCCTATGAAGTGCAGGATGGAAAGCAGGAAAAAGAGATCAGATTGATGAATGATGGAGGTAGAGTGATGAAGTTGGGGTGGATGGATGATGATGGAGGTTTGGATGATGGGTGAAAGTCACTTGAAAAAGTACCTGTATTGGCAGGACCCTGTTGAGTTGGGGGTGGCTCCCCCTCCGAAAAGCTGTGCGGAGAAATCTCATAAGGAGTGCCAAGCGACCGGCCATCTACAACAGGTGTCCCAGTGGCCCCAGCAGCCTTGGTGGCCTCAGGGACCGTGACCACATGAGCCCACGTTGGCTTTGTCAAAGCATCCAGCTCTACCGAGAGATTGTCTAACGATCTTTTGGGTGCTACCTGGGTCACACCCGTCGTCATCTGGGTCACGCTGGTGACGTTGAGCCCTCCCGGAAGTTCTGAAGTGGATGCTTCGGGTTCCATGACAGAGACCCCTGACAGGAAATGTGTCACGGGGACTTTTGTCCTAAAGGAAGTGGTGGGAACCACTGCAGAGTCTGGAGCCCGGCTTGGGATAGGAGTGGGTGCGATTTTGATACTCAAAGCAACTACATCTGGACTTGGGGCAGACTTGGGCGCTAAATGAAAGCACATTTGAACAATTAATGGGTGACTTCTGGCAGGAGAAAAATAACAGATAAGGAACAGAAATAGAAGTTCTGCAGCAGTACAGACCTGTGAAGATACCTTTAGTGAAAGACAAAGAAGAAAAACGACAAAACTATGAAATGCATGGACACTTCAAGGCTCAACCTTAAGACTGTCATATCTTGAGGGGTCTGGAGATTTGCTGCTCTACATCGCAGTCATCTCCACCCACACAGTATGATGGAAGGCATCTGCCCACAGCCATGCATGTATTTATTTACCCTGCAGTTTGTCTCTGATACAACTGACCTCTTCTGGGGCCTCTGTGGCCTGCATGCAGCATTACTCATTCATGCCAGAAAGCTCCGGTTATTAATGGCTCTGTGGAAGAGCCATTAATTTTTGAAGGCACCACGTAGTCCGCCTCGGCGGAAGTACACGCTGCACTTCAAGGTGGGACGAGAACTCCGCGTGCCACAAGCACACTTTCTGATCAGTCACGAATGTGGCAGACGGCCCTCGAGATGCACAGCGTAAGCAAGAAGCAACGTCCTCTCCGACATGCATTCCGGGATTTCACATTCCGATGTTTAAACGATCATGGTGGTGAGATGCACGATGGAGATGGAAGGGATGTAGGCACCCGGCTACAGATCTGGTTGCTTTTCAAAGTTCAGTTAGGAGAATTTAAAAGAAGAATGAGTTTTTATGGGTTTTGGATCCACAGAGGGTTCTGAATGTACTCTGGATGATTTTCTCTGTGAAACTCAGATAAGTTTAACCATTTGGTTCACATTATGGTCTGGGCTTGGTAATCATGGAGCCTGTAGAATGCTATCATAAAATCTCCAGTGAAAGATCTCGTTTTGTATACGTTCTATTGAACTTATTTGTCTGAGACAAACCAAAATTTTGGTCTGTTACAGTAGGGGTTCCCAACCCACAAGGGTTGTTTTTTTTAACAATGTTTGATGTTTTTACATTTTGACCACATCTAAATAAAAAATTAAACTGGTTAAACTTATTAAACTTCTCTGTCCTGCCAATTGATCTGCCACTGGCACACCCAGCCAACAAGTTTTACTGGTCCTTGAAATTTTTGAACAACATAGACCAGTCTGCAGTCATAAAATGGATGGCAACCCCTATGTTACAGAACAAATAAGTTCTTGTGATGACTTGGGAAAAAAAAAGACATTTCACTGTTTGTTTTACAATTTTAAAAAGTTAAATCAAAACTGCTAAACTGAACCCAAAGTTACTGAAAGTTGAGTAACTTCAGAGTAGTACTTAAGTGTTTGATGGTGATGGCTACCTATTAGGACCTTGCTGTGGAATGACAAATATCCTTCCAAGAGCTTTGGTTCTGCTGGCCAGCAGTTTTTCTCCAGTGGCTAACAGTTTTGACTTCAGCTCTGTTTCTGCCTTGAAAAGCAACTGGCTCTGTTTCTTGGGCTTAGCCTTTCCAGCATGCGTATGGAGATGATGTTGGGAGGGGCGACATGCAAACCCCCCGCCCCAAGGATGTATATGCAGCCTCTTGGAACCTACACACCAAGGGTTCATCTTAAGTCATGCTGCACTTTACTCCGGTGCATGCGGAGGTCAATGAATCCATCATGCAAGACCTCCTCACTGCCGCTCAAATGCGGAAACAATGTCAGTTCATGTTTGGCCGTTGATTTATTAAGGAACACTAGCAGCAGGAAGATAATGGCAGCTGTAAGGCAGCCTACACAGTAAATACCTGTAACAGCAAAGGTTTCAAGCGATGACAATCTTTGGGTACCGTTTGTCATGGCCCCATGGAGTATAAAACATGTGACATCACCATGGAGATGAATTTCCATTCTCTTCCACGATCCCATGACCTCCCATGATGGCTGCATACTACCACTCAGTTATCATACTTGATGTGTGCCTCTGACTCTCACAAAATCAGAAATCCAGATGTTGTGTCTGACACTGTTAGTAGTATTTGGAATTGAGGGCATCAGCAGAACAGAAGGTCAAGATATTCTTCTCTGCATGCTTGGTATTTCAAGGATTTAATAACCATACACCGAAAGTGTCCAATATGTCTCTGTCTTTCTCAGCGATTGCTTTGGGGAAAGCCATGACCAGTCAGCTTTTCCTCAGTCTGTGATCTCAGCTGCTGGACCTGAGGGCCATTTGCCAACCCCCAGCTTAATTTAGCCAAACAAGATGCAGTCGATCCCGAGAATGACTGATTAGCTGAGGTAATCTAAACACTTCGGCCTGATTAATGAACCTTTGCATCACTGGCATCCAGGCAAATGCGGTCCACAGTTTTATGCTAACAAATTTGACTGAAATTGTACCACATTATCTTGGCCTGAAAATCTCCATCCAGCAGTATGGCTGCAAGGAGCCAAAAGCAATTTCAGAAGCTCCTACAGCTTGCTTGTCCTCTGCCCCTGAAAGCAGCAGCAATGTAGAAACTCCAATGATTCTGAACATAACTTTTCTGAGGGTGTGAGGCAACAGTGTTTACAGCTGCAAAATTTATTATCCAAATATTTCCATGGGATGTTTCCAGAAGTGTGACCCCTGTAGCTCAGCTAATACGGTTTTCAACACACTGTTTTCTAAGCAAGGCAAAGTAGATTTACTGAAGTGTCCAAGCACTTGCGAAACAGATCTGGGCTCAGCAAAGGAACCATGTCATGGATCTGTGAGCTTCAGCCTTACAATAGCCTTCTTTCCCAATCACAACCCCATGAAAACATTCATGTACTAGATCCTATGAAATATCCATGGATATCAGAACTATCTCTCTTGGGACAAATAGACTGAGATTGTCTCTAGTGTTCTATGCAAACCATATTCCTGATTTTTCCTTTCACGCACTGCTTAAGTCCAGGGTGAAGCACATATGTAATGCTGTGTTGGTTCTATCCAAACAGTAATTGTGTGTTTTTATCCCTCCTGTTCCTGTGAGATTTGCTATGCCTCTCCGGTTATTTTCGTTCCCTTTCCAAAACACGTTCTGGTCTCTTGCCTGCCCCCAGGATTCTCCCAAACTCGCCCAAAGCTTTTCCAACACAGGAAAAACCATGACTAGATGCTTCGGCAAGACCATTTCCCCAGTAAAACCAGTAGCATTCCTCAGTGGAAAATAATCATTGTACGGGTATTCTTGGAGTGGACTGGAGGCTAACATCATATCTATAGGTATCATTTGATATGTGGTAGGGAACAAAAATGTGTTTGCATGGGAAACAAAAACATTCTTGAAGGGAAAAAAGTATAAAAGTCAACTCTGCAGCCTAATCGGTAAGAGGTTTATCTCCAACGTTACTGCTGTTATTTCGAAAGTGTTAACTTCACCTACCTAAACTTCTGCACCCTTGTCTCAGGAAAATGTAATCAGAGAGATGGCAGCGCCCTGGGAGACGGCTTTAGCTGCATGCACTGAGGGCTCCACCACGGCTGACCTTCCCTCCACATGCTCACCTGTGGACACAGACAGACTGGCAGGGCTGCTCCTCTGCTTTCCCCTCTCCGCCGACAGGCTGATGCTGTACTTCTTCCCGGGATCCAAGCCGCTCACAGTGTATGTCGTGGCGTCGCCTGGCACTGGTATGTCCACCCGCTGCCCGTCGGTGATGTAGTCCAGCCGGTAGCGGTCGATCTTGGCCCTCGGCCGCTTCCAGCTCAGGGTCACACTGGTCTCAGAGGAGTCTTTCACCTCCAGGTCCTTGGGAGGATCCAAGTCTGAATGTGGACAAAGTGCAGAGGTGTTGTGGTATGTTTTGTGCCTTTTGTCTCCTATATCCTTAAATCTCATTAACCTCAATAACCCCCATAAACTGATGCGAGTCACCGGGAACCAGTGAGAATATTGTTTTGTCTTGATATTATGACTGCCCACATTGGGAAAATACGGAATAAACAGTGGAAATGTGAGTAGATACGGGTTTCCTGACAGGACGTGCAGTAATTGGTCTGCTCAAGGCGTCTGTGATGCAGCTCACCTGTGGCTGCGTTGGTGGTGGCAGGTAAGCTCTCGCGTTCCCTCTTCATGGCCGTCACGCCAATGCCGTACTCTGTCCCAGGCCTCAGGCCTACGCAGTGGAACAGCGAAGATCAGGAAAGTCCTCTCTTACACGGTTTGAAAAGAGGCAGGTGGCCATCTTGGAATTGCAAGCGACTCTCATCAACCTCATTACAAAACTCAGTGAATACAAGTACCAAGCCTGGGCCTTTGATATTCCCACCACTTTCATCTCGCAAACATTAACCAGAAGGAAACTTGCTGCAGGTGGGTCACTGGTCATCTGCAAACAATTTCTATGTTGTGGTTTTTTCGTGGAACAAAAACCAAAGGCAGAGCCTGCGAGATCAGGAGTGCTGCAGACAGTACAACTGTCTTCGTGTAGTACTGTCATATATAGCCTTTTATTTATTTATCCTTTGTTTTTATTCTACCCCCTCCCCCCTGCATTTTTTCCTCCCTGTTTAATTTGATCTATTGATACTCTCTTGCACAGTTGCAGAAGCAGGACAGATTTTCATTTCAATTGTAAGTTGTATGGGTATAACTGTGCATGCGGCAAACAAATCTTTCAAAATTAAGTACTGAGTGGAAAATAGCTCATTTTAAATGAACACTCACATAATGTTTAACCTAAACCCAATTGTATGTTAGCACAAGATCGTAGATTTCCGTGTCTGTAAGAAGGCGATTTGCCGGCCTGCTCTCCGACAACCTGCCTCATGCTGCCCTCACCAGAGATGGTGGCCTTGGTTGTGCCTCCAGATCCAGGGCGGACCAGCAGCTCGTTGTGCGCCCCCCCAGAAATGGGGCCGTACTTCACGCGGTACTTGTCAATATCGGCCTTGCTGTTTGTCCACTCCAGCGTGATAGTCCTGTCAGTCTGGGTCACCTTTTGCAGGTCCTGAGGAATGTCCAGCTCTGAAACGAGACAGCTTCTTTAAATGTATACTATACCTCAGTCTCAGCCTTACAGAATCCCTAAAAAGATGCTGTGTACCCCAGGGGAGAGTCTGTGTATCCCCCTGGCCAGAAACAAATAATGGAAGGGTCATGGGATAAGTTCTCATTGGGTTTCAGGTTCATTTCTGAGATGGAACACCTGGCACGTAGCCTTCAAAATGAAAGGCTTTAACAAATCAATCATCCCTGTTTTGGAACTTTAGACAAATTCACATCAGAATCAAATGTTTGGCCCGTTCAATTGATCCAGGGCAAATTTTAGGACAGTGGCCCTTGGTTTTGTCTTGATGATGGAATTAAGCCCTTGGGGAACTCGGGGAATTCGGGAACCTTGATCTAAAGACATTTGTGAACTTTTCAGATTCTTGGAGAAATATGGCTTGTGGAATGGAAAATTCCAGAACACTGGGCTCACTTTCTGGAGTATAAAGAAGATGCCTATAGACAGGGCATTTTGGGTCCATTCCTACCTGTGGTAAAGGTGCTCGCTATGGGGCTGCTGGTTGCCCCTCCTCGCTTGGAGTTCAGAGACACGTGGTATTCTGTGTCAGGCTCCAAGCCACCGATGTGATACTGTGTGTCCGTGGGGATAAGGTTTGCCGTCTTCCTGTCCGATGGGTCTTTGCTTGGCCCGTAGGAGATAGTAACCCCATCCACCCGGGCTAGAGGCCGGAACCAGCTAATCAGAGCACTGGAATCGGTCACATCACGTACCTCCACCTGGCTAGGGGCGTCGATCTCTGGGGGTAGATGTTAGAGAGAATTACCAGGCTGAAATTATGCTGATTTTGGCCTATGCAGAGAATTCTCATTCTCAAATATATCCCACAGCAGGAAACGCTCTTGAACCCAGATCCCACTTGCTTCAACAAGGTGGTAATTAAAAACGTATGCTCATCCCAGCCAGGGGGCCTTAAAACCTCGTCCATTTCATTACTAATTAACTGACCAACTGCTTCTTTGACACAAATAATTTTAACTGTTGTCGCTCTGGTTATATCCTTATGTTTACGAAACTTGCCCAGTGATTTTTCCATTGGGCTCTGGGGTTCCAAGAGAACAAAGAGAATACATGAATAAATTAATGGATTTAGCCAAACTGAAGTTATGAATTCATCACAGCAGAAGGTCTTGAAATCCAGGCCGCCGCAGCCTCTATCTCAAAAGTGGCACCTCGCTGTGTAGCTCGCAAAGAAGCTAACGGGGCGAAGCCTTTAGCTTCTCATTTCATCTGAAGTCCCCGGAGGGATAATGCCACCACAGGGTGCCTCAAGTCCCTGCTTTGGGCCTCCTGCCTACACACAGTGTCTGAGCAGCAACTCAGCGGGCTCTGAGAAACCCAGGGACGTTCTGAGGAGGAGACGCCGAGTACAAACGAAGAGAAAGCTCACAGCGCAATGGGTACAGTATGCACCAGGGTAAATGGCCTCTATTCACTAAACCTTCCATAGAGCTGCAAGTCATATGCATGGTGCAGCAGGGCAGTGGGAAATTGATGATTGTTTCTGCCCTCAGAATTAATGCCTTAGATGCCAAGCACCCTGGATAAATCTCATCCAGCTCCAACACTGTTACTGACTTGAGCTCCATGATGGATTGCTTATCCATCCCTGACCCTCCTAATGATCTGGAACCTTCAGATGATAACAGGCTGGTCCAATGTACTATAGTTGACTCTTGTGAATCAGGAGTTCAACTTTTCATCCTTTTAGGGCTGGTGTTAGTATTTAATGAGTTTAAAAATGCAATTTGATAGCAGAATGCAGCCTTTCCAAATATGTCACCGAAAAGGATTTTATTCACATTTATGGGGACTAAAGCTGACTTTATTGAAAAGATTACTGAATCTTATACCACAGCTTTGGTAAATCCCTTATTGGTTCAGAGATGTCACATGACTGTTGATTATTTTTGTGTAAGCGCACAGGTAGTTTCAGAAGCCTAATAGCAGTTCTATTTTAATGCTTTTTAATGTTTTAGTAAACATGTTTATATAAAAATCTCTGACTTTTTACTAAAAAACAGTGCTTCATTTGTACATCAGAAGGTTCCAGAATGCAAAGGGCACCTGAGACCAGAGGGGTAACAGGGCAGGTCCTGGAACGTGCACAGAACATGCACAGAACGTGCACAGAATATGGTGATAACACGCTATGTATATTTAACAATATTTCTAAACTAATAATGGACGTGAAATGGGCATGAAAATTAAATTACATTTGTAAATTAAAATACATTTTTACTTTATTTTTTGATTTTATGTTATTGTTTTTTTAACCGGAGAAATCCGCACAAATAGGTGCTGGAACGCAGACAGAGAGGACCAGCTATTATGGAGGCTATATTTTTAAGAGCACACTGGAACATTATTAGATGCTTTTGAAAAATGAACCATGACTAGTTTATTGTACAGTAGTTGAATATTTTCATATCACCACACACCTCATCATGGTTTGTCCCTTATTTATCTTGTTTGTTAATTTATACTCAAATGTATATGTAAATGCATCCACATGGATCACTGTACATTTTTTTCATACAATTGTGAGATCTTCAGTAGATAAAATTATTTGTCAGTAGATGTTAAATGCATTAAAATTGTTCCACAATAGAAATTTTACAGTAATAGACTCATTTTAAAAGATTTGTGGTCTGTGTGCGCAAAGTCTTGTCTAAATCGAGCAACGTTAGCACTACTATTGATGAATTTGGATCTGTTAGCGCCAACCCGTCTGGAAAGGGCGGACCCTCAGTACAGAGCCCCAAGCACTTTTCAATTGCAGGGTACTTGAATTTCTTCACTGATTCATTGTCCAGAAGTCAAAGAGAACCAAAAAATAATAGCATGCCATTTTGATTGGCTAGTAATGAGTGCTGGAGCGTGATGCGCTACATATTCTGTGATTCTCTCATTTATTGCTCCTAAGACCATTCAGTAAATGATTCTTTCCTTCTGTGGGAATCCCCTAGGATGCTCTGGAAGGATTCAGCTCAGCGGAGGCCATAAGTTACAGTCTTAGAGAGAAGGCTCTTACTGGTCTTCACGTTCCTGTTGACGGCGGGCCCTCGTGTTCTGTTCTTTACTGCTTCCAGCTTGACGTCGTACTCCTGGCCGGGGGCGAGCCCCGACTGCTGGAAACGGGTGGCGTTGTGCAGCAGGATGTTCCGGATCGCACCGTTATCTTCCTTCTGTGGTGGCAGACAGGGGGAGCTGCTTAAACAGGAGGCCCTGCTGGTTCCTAGCATGGCCTACAACTGGCAGCTCCTTGGCAAAGACACCTAACTGTTCAAACTTCACCCAACTGTTTAATCTACATCCAGATGAAAGGAGACGGCTTTTACTGTTGCTGCTCGGGGATTGTGGAGTAAGCTGCCTCTTCAGGTTCGGTTATCCCCTTTGACTTTTGGTCCTTTTAATGGCTTTGCTTAATTTGTGTTTATTTTATATTTACTTTCAAAAATTGTATTTACTTGTTTCTTTTAATAATTTTATTTTCTTTCTTACCCTGTACAGCACTTTGGTTCATTTTAAACATGCTACAGTATATAAAAACATTTCACCTTGACCTAAATGAATATACAGTCTTATATAGGTAAATTAATACAGGCAGTTAATAAAAATATTAAACTAATGGGAGGTTTCATGAAAAGTTATTGAAGTGTTTCATATGCTTTCATCCGTCCTCTATAACTGCGTGATCAGCAGAGAGATGCAGTCAATCAGGAGCGTATCCATAGAAGCAGAGGACAAAAGGCAGGGCACATTTTGGACATAGTGTCTTTCATAGGGGACACAGACAGCACAGGGCAGTTCCTATGCACCAATTCACCTAACTGCATGTTTTTAGAGTACAGGAGGAAGCCAGAGGCATCTAAGCAAACTCAGGGAAAATGTGCAAACTCCACACACAGAGATTAGGGTGGGAATCGAACCCAAAGCCGAGGCCTGTGGCTACATTACTACCTACTGATCACATGTGGAAGATATCAGTGTGTGTCAGGTCCAGGACCTACTCATGGCTGTACATTTTTAATAGTCTTTTAAACCACCAGAACTAATTAATTTGTCGTAACTTTCTCCATATCTGTCACAGCTGCTTAAACAGCCAATATGAAGAGACATGCTTGGCTCTTACACAGAAACACGTCATGTTTATTGTGGATAAGCAGGTCCTTAAATTTTATTGGGGCTAATAAAGTGGAACATTTGGGGGGGTTGGGGGAGGCGAACAGGATGGGGACGATGGGATGGGATCATTAACTGCTGATATGAGCTTTTTTCACGGTGGTTGTTGAAGTGCCTTTTTAAGCTAAAGAACAAGCGGAGGCCCCTTTTTGCAGGGGGGTGGGGAGGCTCTGGCCCCGCACCAGCTGCTACTCAGGAAGCACGAGATCATAAACCCCCAGACTCCAGAAACATTTTCAGACGCTTTGCGCACCTTTCAGCTTGGAAGTGTTTAAGAATTTTCCACTCAGCCACATCATGGTTCCAGCCACCACCGCCCCCGCAGGTCCAGAGAGATGGTCCAGGCCACAGGGGGAGGGGCCAGACCTTAAACAAAATGCCTACTTCCCACCTACCTAAACATGACTCTGGCCAGTTCTTATGTACAGGCGACAGATTTCAGCTGCTTTCCATCACTGAATAAAATTTGCACTCTACAATGCAACTTTTTATAAGAAGGAAAATGCTGCATTCGTTCACAGCTACACTTGTAACATAATCTCAAATGTGCGGGGGAGATTTCACTTTGATTTTTAAAATGTAGGGCAAGTAGGGTTATATTTAATATTTTCTAAAGCAAATATAGCCCTAACCTTTCTCAACGCAATGGCAGCGGCAGCCTCTATAGGGAGACTTGAACCTGTCGCCTCTAACTCTACAGTTCTGTACACCAATACTCCGTCATCTACCGGCGTAAATAAGGAAAGATTCCCTGTGCCTGCGAGTCCCTGAATCAGCGTGCTCACCGTGTTCCTGAACGTGAGGTGCCAGCTGTCGAAGGGGATGTCTAGAGGGTCCCACAGCACCTCCACCGAGCTGTCCTTCACAGACCTGAATTTCAGGCCCTCAGGAGTAGGCAGATCTGGCGGGAATGGAGACAGAGCAGTGCTGTGCCTTTCTCACCCTCTCGGCACCACTAAGACTTAGGCCTGATATCTCCAGCGACATGCAGGTTGACCTACGTGTTGCCACCCTGGCGCTGATAGGGATGCTCCTCTTGTCATTGAGCACAGCAAACACGTTGACCAAGTACTCGATGCCTGGCTCCAGCTCCATGATGGTGGCAGTGTTCTGGTCGCCCGGCACTCGGAAGTCCATCTGCAGGCCACCGGGAGCGGTTGGGACATAGGTGATGAGGTACTCCGTCACCAACATCTCACTGGTCCAGGTGAGGTTCACCGTCTCTGGGTTTACCTCCATCACGGTCAGATTTTTGGGTGGGGAGACTATAGAGGAAGATGGATAGACGATGAGAGTGTCACCCTCCAACAACATGGAGGCCACTGAGGAATATTCTAACCTGGAAAAGGTAGACAATGCTAGCCGGGCATCCCGTCTAACAGGAATTCTGGATTTATGTCAAATGTGACCTTTTAACTTATTTTACCTGGATCAAACCCAGGTTAGCAGTTGAACGCAGCAGACCCTTGGGTGGTAAGACTCAAAAGGTCAATGTGCCTCCTGATACTACCTGGTTTGGACCCCATAACCATCCTCCTATACTGAGTGCAATAATTAATGGTGATTTTTCATGCTGGATATGAATGTCAGTGATAGCTGTTGGAGGTTCTAGTTAAGTTCTGTAAATATACAGCTGAAGAATTTCTGCATGTTCTCTTACAAGCAGCTAGATTTTTCTAGAAGGTCTTTATGAAAGGAAGAATGACTTGGTTTTGAGACAAAAAATTTAAATCGTTAATACAAATTCATCAAAATCTAAATGATACTAAACAAACCACTGTAGTAAATGATCAAATATACCCGCAACTATCTATCTATAAGCGATTCATAAATTTGTTAGAATTAATTTATATTTAAAGTTACTTCCCCTATTAGCAGGATAAAAACATCATACCATAAACAACAGAATTTGGGTAATCCAGGGCCGGTTTTTCCCCTCCCCCTTCACCGTGGGTGGGCGGAGCTCTCTTACCTTCAGAGCAGTCTTCCCCGATGTAGCCCTCAACGCACAGGCACTGGCCGTCTACACAGCGCCCCCTGCCGTTGCAGTTATCAGGGCACTCCTGCTGCCCGCAGTCAATGCCGATGTAGCCCTCCTCGCACAGGCACTGGCTGTCTACACAGCGCCCCCTGCCGTTGCAGTTATCAGGGCACTCCTGCTGCCCGCAGTCAATGCCGATGTAGCCCTCATCGCACAGGCACTGGCCGTCCACACAGCGCCCCCTGCCATTGCAGTTGCCCGGGCAGGTGAATTCGGAGCAGTCGTTGCCGGTGAAGCCTTCTTGGCACACGCACCTGCCGTCCACGCAGACGCCGCGGTCTAGGCAGTCGCCGGGGCATGTTTTCTGGTGGCAGTCGTCACCGGCGAAGCCCTCGTGACACACGCACTGGCCGTCCACGCAACGTCCGTGGCCGTGGCAATCATTGGGGCAGGTCAGCTCGCTGCAGTCGGCGCCCATGTACCCCGCGTAGCACATGCAGTGACCCTTGACACAGCTGCCACGGCCATAGCAGTCATTGGGGCATACCCGTGTGTTGCAGTCCTCTCCGGTGAAGCCCTCGTCGCAGACACACAGCCCGTTGACACAGCGACCCCGGTTCCGGCAGCCCTTGGGGCAGGCGAACTCCGAGCAGTCCTCCCCTTGGTAACCGGCATCGCAGATACATTTGCCATTCATGCAGTGTCCCCTGTCATTGCAGTTATCGGGGCACGCCAGCTCTCCGCAGTCCGGCCCCTGGTACCCCGGCTCACAGATGCACACGCCGCTGGAGCAGACGCCTCTGGCGTTGCAGTCGTTGGGGCAGGTGGCTACGGAGCAGTCATGGCCGGCGAAGCCTGCCGCGCACACGCAGAGCCCATCCACACAGCGCCCCCTGCCATTGCAGTCGCCCGGGCATAGACGCTCGCTACAGTCTTCGCCGATGAAGCCCTCATCACAGAAGCAGGTCCCATTGACGCAGCGGCCACGGTCGTAGCAGTCCTTGGGGCAGATGAGTTCAGCGCAGTCAACGCCCATCCAGGGCTCTGTGCAGACGCACTCGCCATCCACGCAAAGGCCTCGGCCCAAGCAGTTGTTCGGGCAGTTGTTCTCAGAGCAGTCCTCCCCGGCATACCCATCTGCGCAGATGCAGATGCCATTGACGCACTGCCCATTTTCCCCGCAGTCCACCACGCACGCCTCCACACCGCATTCGGGCCCGGAGAAGCCCTCGAAGCAGACGCACTCGCCGTCCACGCAGCGCCCCTGGTCCAGGCAGTTGTTGGGGCAGGCCGCCACTGAGCAGTTGGGTCCCTTCCAGCCGGGCTCACAGACGCAGCTGCAGGTATCCGCACTGTAGTTACCGCGTCCGCTGCAGTAGGGCTTCGTTCCCACCTCCCCTGAGGAGTGAAATCGATCAGAGGTCAGCTGACAAAAAAAAACAATAAGGATGGTCCCTGTCACTGGGATGTGGCCTCGCGATTGATCCAGTGTGAAAGATGGATGAATCTATAAATCCGAGATCGCAGCAAAGAAGCCAGAAGAAAGCAGTCTCAGCCTCTGAAGTGTCCATTCAGTAATCTGAGAGTCATGCCAGAACATCAAAGGATATTTGCTTCCCAGTCACTGGGGTCCCTTTCAGATCCTACTGTTTGTTTGGGAAGGTCGATAACCCAAAGGAGCATAGAACTGGCATCTATTAGCAAACTTTGTGAAATTCTTTCATGTATAAAGAAAACAGGAAGATACAGAAAAATGGATAAATAGGTGGATTCTCTGTCAATACACTTCATCGTCTTTCAGAAAATATTGTTGACTGGATCCCAAATCATTTGGGTGGACCTCAAACTCTTAAATGCTTTACTCTGGTACAGAAGCACCTATCTAGTTCAGGCCAGTGGTCATGGGTTTAGCTAACACTATTGCCTAAACCAGGGGTCACCAACCTTTTTGAAACTGAGAGCTACTTCACGGGTACTGAGCCATACGAAGGGCTACCAGTTTGAAACGCCCAAGATCCTAAACTTATCTAATCTTCATGTATAATAAACATGTTTTAAATGCTTTTTTTAGATATTGTCATTTTCAAATCCATATAGATGCAAATGTGATTAAATAAAAATAGCAACAGGATAAAATTTAATTTTAGACGCTGTTCACTGGTGAGTTGTGCTATTTTTAGAACAGGTCCGCGGGCGACTCGTGTGGTCCTTGGGGGCATCCTGGTGCCCGTGGGCACCATGTTGGTGACCCCTGGCCTAAACCCTATAACTTACCGGTGACCTGGGCTCCACAACAGCTCCCACCACTGGCGCACTGGTCCCTCAATGCAGACACCTCCTCCTCCAGCACCTCCAACCGGCTGAGGAGCTCCTTCAGGCTGGGGAAGCTGTCGCCGCACTTGCACACCTGCTGCGGGATGTTGATACGGTGGGTGAAGACGATCTGGTTCTCGCCGTCAACGGCGTGTTCTGAGAGGTGTGAGGCCTGGGGCTGGAGCTCAAAACCGTCGGGGGCCTGCAGGTCCACGGCGCAGAGGGCCCCCGCTGTCACGTTGATGCTGTAGATGTGGTTGAACACCATGGGCTTGGCCTTGTCTGGGTGGCTGATGTTGCCGCTGTCAGAGGCAGGCAGTGCTGCACTTCCCCTCCGTGATCTGAACATCTTCTGAACCAGCCCAGCGCTGGTCAGCTGGAGCAGGACGACCGAGGCCCAGAGAGCCCAAAGCAGCAGGTTCCTCCCCATGATGGCACAAAGAGGTGACAGACTGGAAGGGTGCTTAGAGTTACCCCGTTCAACGGTGAAGGACTGGCTTCAGTCTGAAACACACAGAAACAACAATTCATATGAAAACATTTCAATCCCCTTATCAGTTATCAGATTCTTTTTCTACACTCTATGGCACCGAGACACTGTTCTAAATAACAAAAATGACCCCACCAGGAAGGAAACTACTCCTAGTGTCATATATCCAGTACCATATTGTATATTTTTCAATATGAATAAAATTGAATTGAATTGAATAGACCAGGAGTTCTCAAAGTCCAGATCGTAATCCGGACCCAGCCGATAATGCACCTTATGAATCAATATGGTTAACGTAAAAAGGCTTAATGTGGTTTGAAGTACAAAAACACAATGTAGAGTTTAAACGACCAGTGAGTGTTAAAAAGTTCCCTTTTATGATTATATATTGACGTCTATATTTAAAGTTGCTGTTAATTCATTTAAGTTCGTGAAATGCTGTTTGCTTATTGAAAATTGCTACGGACCTCTGACTTCGAACAAAAATCTGGTGCAAACCTTTGATCAAAAAGTGTGAGATCCCCTGAACCCACGAGTCTTTCTGACACAGACATACCTCTGAAAACCATATGATAGTCTGCAGTAAAACACTCAAGGTAGGGGCCAGACTGCCGGGGCGAGTCATGGACGCAGCTGTTTTGTTCCATCAAAATTTTGGAGGTCTGGCAGCCATAGGCAAGGCCAGGCAAGGCACAGGAACCCAGAGCAGAACCATAACCAGTAGAACCTCAAGCTCCCTCAAGAAAACAGATCAAAATATCACGACAGTATCACCGGTGACGTCCTTCTTTCAACTTTTCTCCTTCTTGAGTTCTTGTAACCTGTTTAACTCACAGCGTTTATGTGCCTATTGACCACAAGATTCTTATTCTGGGCAATAAAAGCATCAAGTAACCAGAGAAACGTCCAAAATTCTCAGTTCTGATATTAAGAGATAAGCACTTGGTGTATTAGCTCAACAACACTTTCGATACTGTAGAGGCTGTTTACAAAATCAAAGGCAAACATGAAAACTGGCCACTGCGAATGGTGTTGATGCATTTAGGCAAGGTGTACGCTTGTCGTACTGAAGGCCGATCTTAAAGCTGGTCATCTAATTCAAGAATGGTGGCACCTATCCACTAGGATTTGGGCTTACATTACACCTTCTGTTTAAATCTTTCAGTTTTGACTACATTTAGCGCATGGCCCATTCAGGTATGACATTTATAAAACAACTTATACACATAGCAGAGATAAAAATCACCTTCTGCAAGCCAGTCGAGTCTGGACAGACGTCTGCACGTACTCAGAGTGCGGGGAAGGTGTGATGAACGTCAAACAGACTGGAGGGTGTCTCAGCACTTAACTGGAAATCAGAGCAGAAAGTCGGGAAGTGCAGGTACCCCAGCGAGGTGCCTTTCCCTTCTGCTAGCTAGAGCCTGGCATACATGGCACGACAGCCACTTGATCCAAGCAAACGTCATGGTAACCGAATCCCGTGATGGTTTTCCATGAAGCGGCAGTCTGATGTGCTGAGGTCAGACCTCTCCCAGTTCTCAGACTTAACTGGAGATGCCAGGGACACCTGATCATTCTCTACCTCTGCTCCATCCCAATTAAGCTTTAATGCTGGTCTGATTAATTCTTTACGCTATCTATCCAAGTGAACTAAGTCCCTTTATTTGGCTGGTCATTGAAAAATATCTATTATATATATTATCAACAAGATAATATGTCACCAGCACACATATAAAGAACAGTTAAAGATTCTAAGGTCAGAATTTTGCAGGATAGTGTTACGTTGAAGTGTAAATTGACGTAGCCCACAAATGGAGTGTGATTAACTCATTCATTTGATTCATAAACAAAATGCCTGTACTTATATATTATTTTTAGCCTGGCATGATATAGATATAGAATGGGGCAGTGCTGGTCTTGCTGCATTTATGATATCATTCATATCCTGCCTCACCATAATCCAGAGGTTCAGAATTCCATGAGTAGGTCTGCAGTTCATTACCCCAGATCAGCGATCGAACACAAGAAGAGAGCCCAAGACTGGCTGTTGTACCATCGATTTCTTGCGTGTGACCCCCCCCCCTCCCCCGCCAAGCGGTTCATTAAGTCTCTGGCCAAATCAAAATTCCGCAAAATCAGCTCTGAAAGCCGGCCCGTCTCGCCGCTCTCCGCCTGCGCACAGATTCTCCGTTTCATGGAAAGCAGCAGGAGCGAGGCCCGCCAATTCCCTGATAGCTTTCCCAGCTCCTCTTTTCCATTCCCGTCTCGCCCTTAATTGGGTCGGCGCTCATGGCTCACATTCCCCCTGTTCTGGGTCTGAATATAGTCTGAATTTCCCTTACGGCTCAGCTCTGGGCGGTCCGGAGAGGCACAGGGATTGCCCACGGAGAAACTCCTCCTTCGGAGAGCTATTACGCATGGGCCTCCCTGCGGCAATGAGCATTTTTCAGTGACGTGACAGTGAGGGCATGACCTTTGACCCCCAGAGGTCCTCTTTCAACTAATGACAAAAAAATTGTCAGTCCAATTAAAGCAAATGACAGAGCAGGGATGTCGGCCAATCAATAATGACACCGTAAAAGCATATTCAGTCTCAGACCTGCTGGTATAAGGCGGACACAGAAACCCAGTCCTGCTTAACTTTCTTAGTTCAGACGAGTTCAAACATCAAGAAATATATAAACACTGATTACTAAGGACGCAATTCACAGTATGATAAGTAACTTTAAACCAAGACAGATCTGTCACAATCCTGGCATGTAAGGTCTCTAGGCAAGATTTAATCCACAGTAAGGCAGTGATTACTAATAATTTCTTTGATTGAACAAATTTATTCATTGCCCAGTCCCGAGGCTGTTCGTCATTTTAGTCAGAAAACACAGCCACCCTTCAGCCCTCTGCGGATCTGAACGGTAGAAGTTCTCCAAGTCTGCCTTTTAGTTCCTTTCAGCTGATCAATCATCAAGCTCTCCTGCTTTTTTTAGGCTGCCTTAGGCAAAGAGAGACCTGCTTCCTGTCCATGCACGCGTCGTCCAGGTTACCATCGATTGCAAAAAACGAATCGGGCACTAAGTCCTTGTAACGTCGGCACAGGCTGTTTTAAAAGATTACCGCTGTAGCTTTTTGAAGTGAATCTTCGAGAAGAGAGTAGGTGATGTAACATACTGTATGGGACTTTTGTAAAACTGAAATTTTCTTGCAATATGAGTCCTCCCTAAGCTTTCAGTATAAGTATGTTACCATCCATCCATCCATCCATCACTGCTTATCCAGTACAAGGACCCAGGGAGCCCATCCAAGGAAACACAAGGCTGGGGAACATCCTAAACAGGAGGCCCAGGCTCAGGGGCTCCAAAGCCAATCCAAGAAGCTATGGGCACAAGGCAGGAAACAACCCAGGATGGAGCACCAACACCATTCACACCTATGGGCAATTTGAAAACTCCAACTAACCTCAGTATGGTTTTGGACTGTAGCTGAAAACCAGAGGAAGCCCCACGGGGAGAGGTGTGAGTCAGTAGTGCTGACCACTGCAGCACCCCACCACAGATCATACAGAGACATGATGTTGCTTAACCACAAGTTACTAGAGAGGAGACTGAAGTACCTGGAGACCCACACACAACGGGCAGAAGGAGCCAGTCATACTGTTACTGTGCATCTCTGTATAACATTACATTATTATGCATTAGGGATCTGGGGTCTCATATCTTGAGAAGTAAAACATGTAGGAGAAATATATCTTTGTGTTGAGGAGAACGTGACCTGATCATGTCTGAGTGAAATATCAGCGGTGTGTGTGCAGGTCACTTACTTTGCCATTCATACCCCCATCACCCAGCTAACACCGGACGCCGTCTTCCCACAATTCCGAGGTACTTTCCGTTTGTAAATGGCCGATATGTTTGCTTGGCGCCCGTCTCAGAGATTTAGGGTTATGTGTTGTGCTGTTACTCCAGAAAACACTCCATGCCATTGCCGTGACTTCACCTGTGAAACCCCCCCCCTCAGTTCATAATTTGGTCCGTGGTCTATGGGGGGCAGACCAGGAAGCAGATATAGCAAAAAAAAAAAAGCGACTTTCTGATCTGAGAAGTCCAGCTGTCTCAGAGAACAGCATCCTTGCACCCCCCCCCGGGGGCACCCTTTGATGAGACACGTGCTTTCATCACCAGAATGTCTGTTCTTAGCTGCGAGTTAATTTGGGTCCGAAAGCACACATTTTCAAGCACAGAAAAGGTTTAAGCTCTCATTCTCAATAGATTCCCTTATATTCTATTGTGTTTCTCACAAAAAATATTTGTCTCTCCGTGGCAGTTTCACAGCCTGCTGATCTTTGACCCCAGTGTCAGGTCATCATACATTACCGTGACGACACTGTGCTGCGTGACGTTGGCATCATGCCCTGCTGTCATGTGACGTCACATTACACCTTCTTACGTTACTCCTTTCCTTTCCCGGGATCAAAAAGTCCAGGGCAACGTCTGACTCCCGCCTTTCACCCTGATCACAGAGTGGGAAGGGCTTATCTTGTCCTCACTCCTAACTCCGCCCACACCACATACCCCAGCAGAGCAAATGCAGGGTGGGGAACAGGGCTATAGACATGGAAAGCCGGTCTGGAGAATGGGCTGCAGGACACATGGATAGAGGTGGAGCTGACGGACTGCAGAAGATGGAAATCCTGCGGGTTCAAGGTTTGGAATTTGATGGTGAGGATGGAGACTCTGCGATTTTCAGATATATGTACCTCTGCCTCATCACTTAGCCTTTGAAACTCGCTTCATAAATTAAGCAAAGGAAAAAAATAATCACATTTAACCTCTCTACTGGGATCCGCTTCTCAAACACATTTAATCTGTCCTGGTATGCATTCCTGTCCTGTATGAGGCAGGCTGAAGAAACCCAACCCAACACCGAATAAAGAGGTTTTAGAATCTAAGCTGACAAACAGTAAGAATCTCAGCCATAATCCAGAATTACTTTCATTCTTTTCATTACGCCGCTCAGCAGAAGTGTCCTCACATGGAAACAGGGTGAGGAATGTTGGCCTGTAACCCACAACATCTGTTCCGCCTCGCAGATGAAAAAAAAGACCCCACAAGTGTGGCAGGTCCAAGCCTAGAGGGGTACATCCAGGCCTGTCCATCAGTGAGTTGATGTTCTGGCTGTGGGGATGAGCTCAACAGCCCTCCCTTCCTGCAGTGGCCCCGCTGAGATCTCCTGAGCCCAGCCACCACTCTGGGAAACACAGAAGAGCTTTGCCTCTCCTTCCCCTGGGGCCAGGAACACGAGGGTGACTCACTGGACACTCAAGGCAGGTCTACAGGTCCAGAATCCCTTCCACACAATTTTCTTCCAGCATTAGCAGCTTGATCAAATGCAAAGCCCACCTGAGTGGCTAAAAGCCTAAAATTTCACGTTTTATTTTCTACCCAAAAAGAGCTGATCTCTTATGAGGGGGACCTTTCTGAAAATGGAGACGTCTATGTTCTCTTTACTGTTGGAGGCTCTTGAAGTTAGAGCCACTAATTTTGCAGTTTATGCTCTGCAGGAGAAGCTCTTAGAATCTCTCCACGTCCCAGGCGGAGGAAAAAAAAAAAAAGAAGAAAAAAACAGAGCTCCAAGGCACCAGTGATTTGAAAACGAAGGAAGTCTGAGAGTAATCAGTCAGTCCTGGGCCCTTGACGGGAGCCGTGCACCAGATGATGAGCCAGAATCAGATTCATGTGAACATTTCACACGTCGCCCAGCCAGGAATAAAAGGACCGGGTGTGGACCACCATCACCCCTGAATCATAGCAACTGTATTTTATTTTTATTCATTCATAGCCACAAAATGGGTCTGATCTGGATCCTTATGCTCATCGGGAGTATCTAGGGACATCGTTGCACTCCAAGACAATGAGAATGAACAAATGAATGAACATATGAATGAATGAATGAATTAATTAATGAACAAAGTTTCAGGTTCTATAAGGTAAAAATAATCATCAAAATAAGAGTCCCTCAAACGTTTCTCCTGCTATACTGTATGTTGTAAATGAGGCGTGACCCGTCTGTAAGTCGTTCTGCACGTGGTCCATTTCACTTTTTCCACTCATTGTGTCTGCAGGAATTTAGGTCAGCCACATGGCCACTGACTAACAGCTAACAGCAGGGCGATCTGCTGGGAAACGGGGCCCTTTTGAAAATGCTGTGCTCGCTACACGCGGGAGGAAGCCGGAAGGTTATTCCTCACGCGTTACCGTTTCGGACCACTGCCAGACGCGAGCACCGGGGCGGAAGAAAGGCTTCTCCGTGAGCACAGTGACCTCAGCCGTATCCCAGGCACACATGCAACAAATTAGCCGGCCCTGTCAGGACATTTTTAGCTGTCAGATTTATTGGCAGAGGAGTTAAACTCACCATCCGGACAAACTGTCGTATATCCGGCTTATACATGCGATGCTTTTCAACAAGCATGGGAAATATCTCCAGCTACCCCAGTGATTGCCGTCTGTCCGTGTCTTCAAGGGCCAAATCATCTGTTTTAAATGGGATCTGTCAGGCTTCTTGCATGTTCTGGAAAAGTAATGATCAGTCTAGTTGGTTTGAGTATTAGGGGAAGAATTGAGACAGTGAATCAGGAGTTTGTTGAGTTCAGCCCATAATTCTCTCATTAATGATATATGTTTATGTGTTTTTGATCCAAACCACCAAGGCTGCTCACAAACGGGGGGAGTTTATATATTTGTTTCTGCCTGACTGACACCTGCCTGCCTGATGCCCTCCATCTCAGATAAAACTTTGGTTCGGTCCGAGTGGCGGTCAGTCCAGTTCACTGAGCCGCCAAGGCGTTCACTGCTCCGGTCACAGAAACAGAAGGTGGGGGTGGTTAGTCAAAGGACCAGCTGACTTGTTACAGCTCCATGGTCAGGAACTGCTACCCGAGCACCAACACAACCTCGAAATCGGCGCATCGCCCCACAGCTCGAATTCGCATGGCACTAACCTGTAAATAATCGCCCTCACGGCAGCACCGTTATCACGTTACACGACAGACTCGCCTCGGACACCCCTGGTGTTCGGTTTCAGGGCCCTGCCGGGGTCCTGGGTACCTTAGTCACGCCTGGCAGTGAAGGTTGCGTGGTGGGGGGGGTTCTGGGGCGTCTAAGCAAGCTTTGGGAGGTGGAGTCTGAGGTGGGTCTGTGCCCGCCCTGCACGGTTATTAGGAGCGCGTTGAGCAAAGCCAGCAGGGGGCGGTAAGCACTCGAAAGGAGTCGCCGTGGCAACGTTTGAGCTACGAGTCTGGGACACGGACATCTGATGGTCTGAGGACAGGTATACTGGTATCTCTGGGCCATTTCAGTGTGATGCTCTCTGGAAAAAAACACGTAAATGACAGAAAGCCTAAAACAAATGACAACAATTGCATACACAGCTAGAAAAGACCACACACTGCACACTGCTTACTGTGTAAAAGCTGGGAAACTGCAGAATGACTGTATTAACCTCAGGGACGCTCTGTCAACAATACGGTCACAAAAAACAGCTCCTAGTGAAAAAGATCGGAAGACTGTCTCCAATACATTCAGATTAACTTTATTTCCGTAACAGATACAGATTCTGCACAAAAATGGCACTGCAGGAAAGTGGCTTCAGCTTTTTCATTCACTCTTGCCCCTTTTAAGAAACTCCTGACAGAAGGTTCTGGTGCACCGGTGAAGCAGGCAGGAGGGATTCAAATCTCGGGAACCAGGATTGCACATCCCAGCAGGCGGAGGTGAGCACCCCAGGGTCACCAAGTCCCATGTGAACAGCGAGACTTTTAGTCCATCACTGCCTCTACCAGCCCCCCACTAGAACTGGCTTTCAATTCTCTGCTCTTAGATTTATGGACATAAATCAGCTCATTAAATCACACGCCATGTGCATCGTCCTCCCTTAAAATGGCTCACAAGAGTTGCCGCATTCACCAAATATGTTAACGACATCCCACATAAACCATAATTAGTCTTATTTGGACAGTCAGCACTAAATCAACCAAAGAGCATCTGAAAAAACTTGTTAGACGCCTAAAACTGTGTAGGACTGAACCATACATTTTGTTACTTCATGGTAAAAGAGCATGGTACTGTACCCCTTTGGCACTGAATACAACTTTTAAAGCAACCTTTTTTCACAATCAAATACAATATAAAGTCATTTTCATGCAGATTTTTTATGACATTAATGTGCAAAAGTGAAAATACAATTCTGTATAAAAGCCTGTTAAATTACAAACATTTTATATACAACAATTTAATTCCAGTTCGTAAAAAGTACACACTTTTTCCAGATACTGTTTTTCCTCCCCAGTCCGACGTACATACATTTGAAATGGAAACCAGCAAATTTTTGGTTTTTCATTCAGAGACAGAGTTTACTTCACATCCAATAAGGCATGTCTAACGCGGGACCGCCACTTACCGCGGAATAAAACACGCTTCTAACAGGTGGAGAAAATCATTCCTGAAACTTACCAACCCGGGAGCCTGCTGGAGAATCCAAGAGCAACGTGGGACCGGTGTTCCCGAAACACAAATCACTGCAAGGGTGGGGGCTCAGAGTGAAGGAGCCCAACAGCTGGCCAGCCACTCCTCTCTCTCCCCGAAGTGTTCGGGCTCCCGCTGCCTCAGTCTCTTTGTCTTCCCTTTCACCTCCAGAAGCAGCTGATGCTAGAGCAGGAGCAAGCCCAGGGTGCTGAGAGAGAGAGGGGGCGAGTGAAAGAGAGCAAGCAGCGAACTGCCTCTCTTTTAAGTAGGAGGCTGGCTGTGGAAGGATCCCTTTCCCTGACAGAACCTCCCCCCCTCCTTGTAACACACAGACAGAAGTTGGGAGCTGCCACTGCCTTGGGACAGAATGCCTCTCTTCTTACTAACACAACACACTGATGACAGAGAGAGAGAGAGAGAGAGAGAGAGAGAGAGAGAGAGATGGGGGGGAGAAAGCGGGTGTTATTGGACCCGGACGCGCAGTTAACGGCAGTGGCAGCAGACAAGGTGGCGGATGGGTGGTCTGTCCATCTGTTGGGTATCAGGAACACAGGAGAATGTCCAGGTTCTTCTCCTTTATCTCAACAAGAAGAACATTGTCATAATAACCAAGAGGTTGTGGGTTTGAATCCCAGAGAACTTATAAAAATTGTAACTGTTCTCTCTACTGTAAGTCAATTTAGATAAAAGTGAGATGACTAAATGTAAAAACATCCCCTGAGCAAACAGTGAGCCCTTCCTAAATCTCTCCCCTGCTCTTGTCTAGACACCTGATTTGTTACCCACACTACCTCCCCACCAGATATTACATAGGCAGTAACTCTGCCATTCATTCACCCAAAAAGATAAAGAAAACCATTTGGCTGACACCTGAACCCATTTGCACAGCTGGATGCTTTATGGAGGCAATTTAAGCACATGTTTTGGCAACAGATTTGGTTCTTTAATGACTATGCCACCTGCAGCCTTTATTTTGTTACAAAAGCATCTGCATAAAGAATCCATTTGCTGTGCCATTCCATAAGGATCTGTCACAGTCCATAAAATGCCCAGGAACAACCTGCTTGGGCCATTGTACCACCGGATAGTTGGACCGCCCATGGTAAGGAAGACTCAGGATTTCCGTAGTTCTTTACAGTTTTATCCTGGAGCAGTGGGATCCTGAGGAAATACCTTTGTAAAAGTGAGGCCCCAACTCAATTAAAAAATATCACTCACTCTTAAGACACATAGTTCCCCAACGACAATAAAGGAAAAGCGATTTTCAGCTTCACAGTCAATAAATCAATCAATCTATATATCAATAAAATGACGTCACATGTATATTAGTCATACTGGCACCTCTTCCTGGCTTACAATTTCATAGCGATGATCTAAATTTTGCTTTTCATTTCCTGTTCGGAAAGAACAGTGTAAAAGGATGACAAACGCTACAGCTAACCCATCTGATAAAAACTGCATACAATGGAAATCATTTCACTGATGTACATTATAATTAACACTAGGCTCTCTCACTGTTAGTTATCATTTAGTCAGACTAGATTTATGAGACTGTCTCACTTTCATAAAGATGATGCTGGACCTGGAGAGGGAACATTTGAAAGCGTGGTTAGATCCATCAGCGAGACCTTGTAGCTAGGCAGCCGGCCCTGATGTGGAGCAGCTGATGCGATAGCAGGATAGCGGGGAGCGTCTCTGTGAGAAATGGACTGTGAGTGACATTCACGGTGCTCAGCTGTGTCTCCGGGCTCCAGAACAGACAGACGGCAGAACAGCAGCTGCGGGCCCAGCTGAAGAAGCAACAGGTGAGGTTTCCTGCCAGGTTACAGCTTCAGGAGACGCATGGGAACCAGACAATGCGTGTGTCTGCGGGATCTGACCTCGTCGCATTGGAGAAGGCAGCCAAGTCACTGTAGAATATAAACGGGAGGAGCAACACGAGACCCCGATCCCCCGGAGATGAGGAGAAGGCACACGTGCGGAAGCAGGCAGGGGGTGTGGGGTTGTGGGGGTGGGGGGGTCAGCATAAAAGGTGCTGAGAGGAGCAGGACAATGAGGTGGTGACTGTCAGGGACAATTAATGAACACAGCAGGTCACAGCAGCCCGTCGTCACAGGATTGATTAATGAGGCTTTGTGTCCTCATTCAAACACACATCCAGATGAGTTCGCTTAAGCTCACAGTCTTGGCCCTCCAAAGCCATCATTTAAAAGGCATTTTAACACATTCATTACGATTTTATATAAACAGGATGTACCTTCCCATACCATTCAAAACACCTTATCACAAAACATACATAAGCCAAAATATACTAGTATTGCATACTAAATAAATGAAAAGTTATGGTGTAAATTTACCTTCATACCTGTACGTGTGTAGCCATTTTGTGTTAGCCCTTCCATTAATGCTATGTATCATGGATGTTTTTTGCATAAGTCTGGTTTTACTTGGTTTTACATAAACCAAGAGCTGCCTGTATTGTCTTTTCCCCCATACATCCATCTTCGATAACCATTTATGCAGTACAGGGTCACAGTGAAATTGCAGCTCGTCTCAGGAATCACAGAGGAGAAGATGAGGGACACCCTGGACAGGATGCCGGTCCATCACAGGGTATGAGGCAGGGGACACACTGGACAGGATGCCGGTCCATCACAGGGTAAAAGGCAGGGGACACACTGGACAGGATGCCAGTCCATCACAGGGTACAAGGCAGGGGACACACTGGACAGGATGCCAGTCCATCACAGGGTACAAGGCAGGGGACACACTGG